AATATTGTGACCAAAACAAAAACGGTCACGTGCAGGTTCTCTATTTTTGAGCAACAGAAACACCTTTAATGAATACATTTTAGATGGAAATGTTTAATCTCATATTATTTAATTCAATTCAAAAAGTTTATTGTCAATTTTCATGAAGAATTTAAATTGTGTTCCTCACTTGCAATCTTCTAAATAAATAATAATAATAAATGGAAACGTCCAAGTGTTCTTCTTTGGGGAGACACAGATTCCTGCTTCCTGACTGCCTGGTGCTTAGAGAGAGGAGAGAGTTCAGCATCCTAACAGCCTGGTGGATAAAGCTGTATATGTCTCTGGTGGTGCAGGAACAGAGGCTCCTGTACTCTCTCCAGGAGGGCAGGAGACTGAACAGATTGTGTACGGGGTAACTTTGCAGGTGAGGTGGGTGGTGTATTTGTCTTGCAGGGAGGGGAGTGGTGCAATAATGATCTTCCTGGCTATGTTCACTATGCGCTGTAGGGCTCTCCTGTTGTGGTCAGTGCAGCTTCCGCCCCACACAATGATGCAGCTGAAAGGATGTTCTCAGCGGTTCCTCTGTAGAATGTGGTCATGATGGTGGTGAGGAACTTGCCCGCTTGAGTTTTCTCAAGAAGTCGAGGCGCTTCTGGGCTTTCTTCACCAGTGTGGCAGTGTTTGTGGTCCAGGAGAGGTTCTCACTGGGTGTGGCCTCTCTTTGGAAGTCAAAAACAATCTCTTTAGTCTTGTTGACGTTCAGCTGGAGGTTGTTGTCTCTACGCCACGTGGTCAGAAGGTCGACCTCTTTCCCAGAGTTTTGTCATCCGCAAACTTCTAAAGATGGTTGGTGCGTTAGATTGTTGTGCATTCAGGAGGGTAAAGAGCAGAGGACTGAGCATGCAGCCATGGGCAACCCTTATGATGGTGCTTGAGGTTTTGTTGCCAACACGTCCTGCTTGTGGTCTCTGGCTGAGGAAGTCTTGCAGCTGGTTGCAGAGGGAGGTGCTTAGACCCAGTTTGTCGAGTTTGCAGATGAGTTGTTGTGGTATTATGGTGTTGAATGCTGAACTGAAGTCTTTGAACAACATTCTCACATAGTAGTACTGGAGACAAGTATTGTATTTTCTGCACTATAGGGAGCACTTAAAAGCCTTTATTTCATCAAAAAACTACTGCGCGCCTTATAATCCATAATTCTTATATATGAATTTATTGGGGTATCTTAGTACGACTTTAGTAAACTACAAAGCCGCGCCTCTTGCAGCATTACGGCTCCCGTAGTCAGGAGCATCGCGGCGTAATACATACTGTGATTCCTTTTAATATCAAAATGCACCTGTCAAGAGACACACTTACAACGCCCACTTTAAACTCAAGGCTGTTATAAAGTTAGTATAAATTGCGAGCTGCGTGGGAGCAGTGGATGAGAGAAGGAGAACACACATTCACCAAGACAGGGAGACAGCGCCAAGCGACTTACACCATGATCTGCCAATGGATCGTGGACGCCTGGGCTAAGAATCAGTATCAACTGTGGTCCGAGCTTTCACCAAGACCAGAATCATCACTGAACTGCCAGGGAACAGTAACCACACTGACTTGGATAATAATGAGAGGGATGCGGGCACGCTGGATGCCGTAATCGCCCAACTGTTTGAACAATTATGAGTTATTGTGAATACGTTAACAGTTCAGTACCTTCCCAGACAGTATTTTTTTTACGTGTTACAACTGAACAAAGTTGAGAGTTATTGTGAACGCGTTAAATAAAGTTTGACTGACTTATCTAACTGTTGTGTTTCGTTTAATGCGGTGCGGTTTATATGTGAAAAAAGTTTGAAAATAGACCATTCAATGACAGTGCGCCTTATAATCCAGAGAGCCCTATAATGCAGAAAATACGGTAAAAAGTTGCGCTGTACACCTTTAAATGATCGTTGTAGTGCGGCATTTTAGATTATGAATAATTTCAATACACAAACATACCCGCACTCTGTTTTAAAACGGAATTAAACCTTAGTCATTTCTCTCTGTGATAAGTTTGAAGATAAGGTAAGAGTTCTCAGCAGTGACTTCTGTTCTGTCATATAGATAAATAAATATAAAAAGTCCGTCTTCTGAACAGCTCTTTGAAATAAACGTCACTGCCCGTCTGGGGTGTGTCCTGCTCAAAGGTCAAGATCTTATCATAATAACAACAAACATAGAAAACGTGATTCATTAAGTCCGAGAAAGACAATATAGACAATGGGTTTAAGAAAGCATGGGAAAATTGGTCAGACATGGGCCAATCCAATATTATCAAATTCATACTGATGCTTTGCAGCTGGGGGTGTGATGCTAACTGGAGGCACTGCTTTGTCTCAGGCTTTATTAGACTCGTAAACTTTAATTTCACACCATCTGACCAGAACTAAAATATTTAAGTGAAACTGCAACAGGTCAGGTGATTTGTGAACCTGGACTAAACCTGGATTAAACATGGACTAAATCTGGACTAAACCTGATATAAACCTGGACTAAACCTGAACTAAAACTGGAAAAAACCTGGGCTAAACCTGGACTAACCCTGGATTAAATCTGGCTTTAACCTTGGCTAAATTCGGCCTAAATCTGGACTAAACCTGGACTAAATCTGGATTAAATTTGGATTTAACCTTGGCTAAATATGGGCTAAATCCAGACTAAACCTGGACTAAACCTGATTTAAACCTGGACTAAACCAGGAATAAATTTAGACTAAACCTGGACTAAACCTGGATTAAACCTGAGCTAAACCTGGGCTAAATCTGGACTAAACCTGAACTAAACATGGACTAAACCTGTGCTAAATTTGGACTAAGCCTGGACTAAACCTGGACTAAATCTGGACTAAACCTGAACTAAACGTGGACTAAACCTGTGCTAAATTTGGACTAAATCTGGAACAAATATGGACTAAACCTTTTTATCACAATAACAACAAAAACAGAAAGCATGATTCAGTAAATCAAAGTCAGAGGCTCCTGAAAATGAGTTGTTTAAATCCATTTTATTGTATTTTTTCTTGAATTTTCAGACAATCTTTAATCTTTTTTGGCAGTGTTTACTAATGTTTGCATCGTGTCACCATGGTAACTGCTGAACATTCTGCCATAGATATACAAGGAGAACGCCCCCAGTGTGATATCAGTGCAAAGTTCAAGAGCCTATGATTCTTTGTGGTGCAGCTTGTTTTGCCTTTTCAGGAATATCCATGATCCATTCACCGTCTTCCAAAACCATAATGATACTTCATAGGCCGTGTTTTGCATCAAGTTTCAGTGTTATTATCTCTCCATTGTCTCTGTCTTTGTTTTTGTTTGCCTCTTTATCTTCTGACATTGATACAACCTGAAACTAGGGCATGCCCGCAGAGATTTTGGGCCCTGATTATAAAGCAAGTAGTTTCCGTTTTTCTGTGGTATAGCACCGTAATAATCTAAAGTGAGTTTTACGTAGAGTTGGGTGATATGGCATTAAAATTAATTGTACTGATCAAACGCGAATTTTGACATGTTTTTCTTTTCAGAATCTAAATTTATGAATCATTTGATCTTGATTACAAATTTCAAGTACTGTAATGGAAAAAATTGTCCAGGTTTTTTTTTTCGTTGATGATTAAACAATCTCATTCTTGAGGGCCCATGTTACACTATTTTCCAAGGGCGTAGGTTTGGTTTCAGTTTTGGTGGGGACATTATCAGCTCACCCCCGCCCTTGAAACCAATTTATAGTTATTTGTACTTACTTCTAGGTTGCTTTACCAGATAATAGCAAAGTAGAAGTTTGTAGCAGATTTCCCTTTGCTTGTTTTATTTGTGAGGTCATGTCGATACAGTTTTCCATGGAATATTGTCAGTAGAGTCCGGCTATTCACAGTGCACGAGTAGGGCTCCATTTGGGAGGTGCACTTGTGGTGATAGTCGCTCTTTTTCCGCAGTGACTCATTATAAGCAAGTTTAATTGAAGAAGACCCAGGACACGCTGGAGGGACTGTGTCTCTGGGCTGGCCTGAGAATGCCTTGAGGTCCCCCGGAAGGAGCTGGAGGAAGTATCTGTAGTAAAGGAAGTCTGGGAGTCCCGGCTTAGACTGCTGCCCCCGCGACCCGGCCCTAGCCTGTTTCATCAGCCGGTTTTACTTTGTTTCACTTCGTACAAACCGTTTGATCTCACAGCATTAGATTTCATTCGCTCGACAGTAGGCGGGTACTTTTTATCATTTAACCGTGATGTATGTAATGTGTCGTGACGTATGTAATGTGCTGCTAACGCGGCTAACTGGTATATTTCCCAAATCCTGTAGGAGGAAGGCCAATAACGTCTTTCCCCTTGATAAAATTCACCAAACATTCTCTTTATTCCGGCTTTAAATCCTCGATCTCAGGAATCATTGCCAACACAGAATGCATGGCTCTTTGCTGATTGGCTGGTCCCCGAACTTGCTCTTCCAGGGTTCTTGCAAATCGTCTAGTGTATTCTGATTCCTGACCTATTCGCTGGAGAGAAATGAAATTGAGTGGAGGAACTAGGTGGCACCAACCTGGCTAACCCTGCCCTGGATATGCAGAAGAAAATGGATGGATGGAAAAAAAATAATAATAACATTCTAACATGTCTTAAAGTAAATTTTTGTGTAATATAGGATACTTAAACTTTGATTTATTGCCTAGTTTTTATCAAAGCCACCTTACAAATGGTGAAGTGTCTTGCCCAAGGATACAACAACAATTTCAATGCCATTAGCTGTGACCAAATTCCCCACTTCATGTTTTTTTTTCTCTAAACAACCAGTAAACAGACAATCTTCCTGCTGGTAAATAATTTTTCCCATTTTTGCCTGGTCTAATCGCAAAGCCCAGTGGAAGTACCTGGAAATACTTGCATGCATTTACTTATCAGCCTTCACTGTAAAAGACACACCTCTTTCAGTCTTACCAAACCGGTTCTTAAAAAGGAAAAACCCTATTTCGTCACCACAGTCATTAAAAAGCCACATGCAGCTGTGACCTGCCCAGACAGAGCGCTTCACACATCCAGAGCGACAACACACACACAACTTTATCTTTTTGGGACTTTATTTGCTTTGTTACTCACTGAATCCAGCACCATGACCCAGCAGCTCTCCTTCATGGCGGAGAACCAGCGCCGGATTGAAGCGGTGCAGAAGTCTTTCGGACCGACCGGCGCGCGTCTCCAGGACCCGGGCCGAGTCCTGATCGGGGAGGGCCGCCTGATGAAGCAGAGCCGGCGTGGACCCCAACCCAAAGCCTTTTTCCTCTTCAACGACTTGCTGGTGTACGGCAGCATCGTCATCAATGGACGCTGGTTCAAGAATCAGAACATCATCCCTCTAGGTGAGAATATGTGCAGTGTTTGTGGTTCTGTAACAATGCATAGTGATGTTGTGTTCATGGGCAAGACACTTCAGCTACTTTTCCCAGTTAAAATGACCCAGTTAAGAGGACTTGAATTAAGTTTTATCATGATCTGAGTAAATTTCACTTAAAAAGTAAAATTATTAAAGACTTTTTGTACTTAAAATATGAAAATACATAGCCTGGTTTGATCCTGGTTTAGCTCTGATATAAGCTTGGTTTGGTCCTGTCCTTAACTAGTGCTGGTCTAGTTCTGGTTTAGTTTTGGTCCTGGTTTGATCCTGGTTTAGTTCTGATATAGGCTTGGTTTGGTCCTGTCTTTTTCTAGTCCTGGTTTCATCCTGGTTTCGTCCTGGTTTCGTCCTGGTTTAGCTCTGATATAGGCTTGGTTTGGTCCTGTTCTTTTCTGTAGATAATTTACTTGTCAAGTTGAATCGACTCAAATAAAGTAAAATATTCTTAATTTAAGTATTTTTAACTTACCTAGATATTGGTTCTTTCCTGTGTATCTAGGTCAGTTAGTGTGACTTGCTTGTTTTTAATCTGCTTTTATTCAGCAATTTGACTTTTAAAAAAAGCAAGAATTATGTTCTCTTCCCTGCTCATGTTAATTCAGAGTTTTAGATTTTTTGAGTAATTGTATTTTATCTTCTCCACTGCAAAATAAAAATGGCTTTGAATATTGATTTCATAACTTAAGTATGTCTAGATAGACTTTTAATCTATGAAATTTAACACAAAAATAGCCCTTCAAAATCCAAACTTCTTAGAGAGGAACTGGACGGCCCATTGTTTGTGGTTGTACTGATTTAATGCATACAAACATAATTCATTCATTCATTTTATTTGTTTGAGCGTCGCACAACAAAAACAACAACAATAACAAAAACAAGGATATGTACCGAATATGTAACAAATTTAAGTTTTTCAGAAACTAAATACAAGTCAAAAGAAATAATTGATCCGTGTTAGGCCCCAAATAAAGAGTCAATCAGTCAATCACTCAGTATAACTTCATTAAATTCCCATCTAGAGGGAATTTAACCACATTGAGCGGTTAATATACAAAAAGAATTGTTGCTTTCAGTGTGCGTGACAGCGGATCTATTTGCTTAAGATGTACCAGTCTGATAAGTCAGGTGGTGTGCCTTATCTGATTACCAGGGCTGTTTACCGTTGTTGTCTTGTTATCAAACATCTTCAGTGTTTTAAACTCGTCTTATTTGTCTTTGCAGAGGACGTTGAGCTGGAGGACCTGGAAAATGGTTTCCAGATGAAGCACCAGTGGTTGGTCAAAACCCCCCGTAAATCCTTCTACGTCTCCGCGGCCTCCCCGGAAGAGAAGCAGGCATGGATGGAGCACATCGAGGTGTGCAAAGCTCGCCTCCTCCAATCCAGCGGCCGACGTGCGAGCTCCATCTTCGCCGTCACCTGGATCCCAGACCCTGCCTCTGCCATCTGCATGCGCTGCTCCAGGAAGTTCAGCATGACCCACCGCCGCCACCACTGCAGGAAATGCGGTTTCCTGGTGTGTGGAGTGTGTTCCAGACAGCGCGCTGTGATCGGGAATCTCCATCCCACCAAGAGGCAGAGGGTGTGCGGGCTGTGCCATCACAGCCTGAGTGAGAGAGAGGAGGACGACGGGAGAGTCCGTGGAGACAGCACTGGACTCCGCTCTGATGAAGACGAGCAGGCCAGCATTGAAGATCCATACTATGAAGATAACAATGAAGACGACTATCACCCCGTTAACTGGGCTGACAATGGGATGGACTCTTTCGCCCCTTATGTTTATCTCAAACCTGAGCATGTCTGGCCTCGTCTGTGAAGAATGTGCATGTTTGTACTCATAACAATGAAGGATTCTGCCCATTTGGCACTTTTGTGCATAAGTAAATTGAGCAAAATTTAAGGATATAAAGTAATAGTCAGAAAACCTTGAAGGGGCACTATCTGTGTTTCTTGATCTGTCAACAGTTGTTATTGCTTTGTCTGGTATGGTCCACAGCAGAGGCGGCGTTAGCATTAGGCAAAATGGGCAGCTGCTTAGGGCCCCCAAACCTGGAGGGGCCCCAAAACAATTGCCCTCAGTGCCACTAATGACCGTGGTCTCAGAGCAATTTGATTTTCTCTCAATATTATTAAAATTAAATGAGAGTAGTTTACCTTTAAACAATAATCATAAGAAAAATTATAATAATCATATATAATTGATGTAAACAAAAATGTAATTGTTCTAGCAAAAAATAATGATTATCTAGTAGGCGACCGACTAATAAGACAAGTTTCCAATCCACCATAATTCAAATAGAGATGTACAGTGGGGAAAAACAGACAATAACTATATTTAAAAAATAAATAAAAAATTGTGCATTATAGTGAGGGCCCCCAAAATTGCCCACATTAGAGTATACATTTCTTCCATTTAATCACATTACTGGCATTTTAATTGTCAAAAAATACTTTAATGGAGTCACCTACTCGTCTTACTGCTTGGTTTTATCAGTTTTATGCTATTTTGTGGTACATTCCAGACAAAACACGTTGACGGAGAATAGAAGATATCGAATCCTCCACATAAAACATAGTGCCCCTTTCTGTTTTCATCTGATTTTCTGAATATGTGGCACGAGAATGCACTTACAGACTGCTATAAGATTCATACCTCTGAACACTGATGCTGCTGAATGCCTCCTAAAACCTAAGCCCAGGACAGACCAAGGTGAAAATCTGAAGGACAAAATAAATACACTTTATTTTAATGTCGTTTAGGCACCGTGTGCAATATTAACCATGGTATTAAGTTACTTTAAACTGTAATTAATGTAAAAACAATCTCTACTGTACATAGTTTATTTATTTTCGTATGTGTAATGTGAAATTTTCATTGTTTTGAAGCACCTTTAATAAGAATGTGAAACTTCCATGAAACATCTTTATGTACTGTCATGTCATGTAATGTTACATGAACTATTGTATTTGCTTCAGACTCTATTTATAACCTTAATAAACATAATGAACTGTAATCAATTTGCCTGTTTTTGTTGATCCCTATACATATATATATATATATATATATATATATATATATATATATATATATATATATATATATATATATATATATATATATATATATATGTAACTTTAAATCACACATTTTGTTTTATTTTCAAGTTGACCTAGACCTAAATAAATCATATAATAAAATATTATGTATGTCTAAGAGTCATCAGAGTTATTAAATTATGCAACCATAATTAGGGAAATTTCACTTAGGTGGTGTATCCAGGGCACTTACTGTCAGTGCATTACCGTACGGACGGTAAACAAATTTCTGCTAGATAAAAAATCCAGCGTCATGCCTCTTCTCTTCTTCAGCTCTCAAACTATTACAATTTATTTTACTGCACCAGGAAGAACCCAAATGAAAGTGTTTAAACTCTTGCTTGCAATTCAAGTCATGCAAGTCCAGTAAAGAGCTTGAAATGGTACAAAGGTCAGAACAGCCAGAGGTTAAAAAAAAATGATAAAAGATATAAAACACAAGTCCAAGCTTTGCCAAAACTACCTCAGGAAAAAAGAACAAGATAGTAAAGCTTGAAAACATGGAGTGTCCAGCACAGTGTCCAGACTTTAACCTCATCGAGCTGGTTTGGGATGAACTGGACAGAAGAGTGAAAGCCAAACAACCTACAAGTGCCACACGTTTATGGGAAATTCTGCAACAGATTTGGGAAGAACTTTCTGAAGAATATTTGATTTCTGTTGTAAAAAGAATGAGCCACGAGCGTGTTCAGCTGTTATATCTGCCAAAGGTGGACACTTCCATCAATCAAAAGTTTAGAATACGTTTTGGTCAACAGTAAACAGTAAAAAACTGGAAAAAGTGTTGTGTTCTAACACTTTTTACCGATAATGTACAAGTGTTGTGTTGACAACAGTTGCTCGATATGGTTTAATGCATCTAATCAGGTTTATACAGACCTGATGAAACTATGAGCCAATGTCTGTGGTTTGACCTGAATACTTAAAAGACAGCATGCAATTGTTCATGTAAAAATATGCCTAGTGCTTTATCAATGTGAAACTGACCGATATTTGTCAAATGTGGGTCTTGTGTATTTACATCTTAACCTTTGCAAAGTGTGTGTTTGAACTTTGACTAACCTGTGTACTGTTTATTCACTGCCCAGTATAGTGTGGGAATGACAAGAGCTGACGGACAAAGAATAAAAATCGTGTTGAAAACCTTAATCCTTATGAAGTATTTACTGAATAAAAATTAATTGGCCCTAAGATTGAACCTTGAGGGACACCCTTTCATAATACATTTAAAAGTTATTTGTCTCACATTATCATCATCACAAGGTATTATTGACAAAATGTTATTGCATTGGTACACTCTGTAATTGTTCTGGTGAGGGAATGCTCATCTATGTGGAATAACTACATGTTATTGCTTTACCAAAAACTTTCCACATTATTAAAATTATTATATTTATTCGATTACAGATATATTTTTTTTATTGCTAGACTTACACTGAGTACGACTATATCGTCTTCAAAAATCTGACCTGTAACTTGGCATGGTGGCATCACCTGCTTGTCTTTCAGATCAATAGATAAGTTTAATGCCATACTCTGGAACATTCCACGTAAAGCAATACGATTTATTTTCTGAGAAGCAAGGGGTGGATTCTTCATCAGAAAAATGACAAAAAAGTGTTAAAGGTGAAATGGTAAATAGCATTATGGTGGAAGAAGTACTCAGTTGTGTTATTTAAGTTAAAGTGCAGATACTTGAGCAAAGGTAAAGTAAAAGTATGACACAAAAAATCTACTTAGTATTAACGTAAAAATGTACTTAAAGAGTAGAAAGTAGAAGTAGGCGACTTTACACAGACTGTGAGATCTAATAAGGCTTCAAATGTAGTAATTTAAATAAAGTTTTGTGATGAATTTTGTTCAACAGAGACAATTAAATCAATAATCTTTTTTTTTTTTTTTTTTTTTCTAGCAGTTCTTTTAGTATGTTTGCTCAAACTACACATGCATGAAATGTAAACCCCTCAACCTTTTCAGCAGGTCTCAGACAGTAATTAAAAATACTTTTCACTTTTTGGTGCAACTCAAAAATGTAGTGGACTAGAAAGTACAAATACTTTTTCTCAAATGTAAAAAGTATCTGCTTTAAAATGTTCTTAAGAAAAGTACAAATATGTAAAATTTAGTACAGCACTTTACTACTTTTACTTTTATACATTTCACCACTGGCAAATAGTTACATAAACAAGTGATACTGGTGTGAGTATTAGTAATTATTGTAATTATTATTATTATAAACTAAACTTTTGTGTTATTTGCTCATTGAAACTTGGACAGAATCCAAGTATATTCCAGTAACAAAAGGATTTTACTTAGTCATCTTCAGTTTATCAGCTAAGAGGAAGAGAAGTGTGTGTGCGTGTGTCTGTGTGTGTGGGTGTCTGTGTGTGTGTGTCTGTGTGTGTGTGTGTGTGTGTGTGTGTGTGTGTGTGTGTGTGTGTGTACAGGGTAAATATCTGACTATGATTGTTGTGAGTTTTTTCCACTAGTGTTACCATAATGATGATGTAAGATGACTGAAATATTCTAACCCTAAACAAACAAAACACTAGTTCAAAGCCAATGTTCGATCTTTTTGACCTCACCAATGAAAACTTTAAATCAGAACCGGGACTATACGTAAAAACCACCAGTACCTTTCAAACTTTATACCCCCCCTTGGGTTTTCCAAGCCCATGAACTTCTGATGCATACAGGTACTGGAGGTTAAGTGATGGTGGCAGGTCTGGTGATATAAACAGAAGCAGCAACAATGTCCTGAGTTTCAGTTCCTGACTGGTGGAATTTTTGGATGTGTATGTTCTTTCTTTGTCGTATGGGCTTATTCTCTGAACTGAGCTCTCCACATTTATGAATCTGAGACGGCTCTCACTGAAATCGAGAAAATGCGGAAAGTCATGACAAATATTTTAATCTGATCGATCAATGCGTCACAAGAACAAGTTTCCCGGTCTGCAAATGCACAAAGTTCTTATCTTCTGCATGTTTTTCACAAACAAAATATTCTGTATTTTCACTAAAACAGCCTGAAGTACATCTACAGGTTTCGCCATGTTTGTTTTGGTTCATTTGGATGCTTTACTTATGGCTTCTTATGCACAAAACTAAATGTTGTTCTGTGATTGATCCACCTGCTCCTGGGTGAATTTGAACCTTACAGCGAGTCTCTGAAGATGGATTTTTGTCAGTTTGTGAACTCATCAATATCGCAGGAATCCATCTGTCTGTGCAACGTGAGGGAAGTACAGGACCTTTAATGGAGTCTCTCATTGTTCTTATAAGATTCATCAAATGCAGTGAACAAAAACGCTTTGTCGTTAATTCTTACTTTGAGACTTTACTTCATCAAATCAATCCAACAAAATTAACATATGTAACTTCCATGTTTCAGGAGCAGTGAGTGTCTGCATTACAGCTTGCGATGCCTGGGGCTCCTTCTGAAAGTTTAAGTGAAAAAAAATCTTGTTGTTTATTAACCTGACCCTGTCCTCTGCCCCAGTAAACACATTCTGTAGACCTAATATTTCTTCTCTTGTTTCGTCCCCTCTGACTTGTTTTCTTACAGAACAGCACACCCCTATTTGAGTGATTTACAGGAGAATCGGACTCATGGACTCAGACAAACACGCACAGAGCCGCAGAGGATAGTTATTTTACTTTACAGTCTGTGTTGACAGAGGAGGGAGCTGTCAGACCGGTCGCTCTGTGAACACTGGAAACGTGAGCTCACCTGTGTCTTTATCAAATGTCATCGTTATCAGCTTAGTTTTCTGACTTAAAATTTTATCTTCTTTTACTGCTACTAATACAAAATTATTACCACAAACCTTCGCTCCTGTTGTTATTTTCTTGGAGCAGAAGCTCTACTCTGAGCTCAGTCCTTTTCTCTAAAGTTCTTTACAAACACAAGGTCAGCAGTACCCACCCACATCTAGAGTTTATCCACCTGCACCCAGCACGAGGCCTATATGGGTTTGTTTGGTGGATACCTCTGCCGCCACTCCACAGTCTTAGTATTACTTCATTTAATTTCATTTACATTAAGTTACTCACAGCACACATACTTTAATTCCTTTATTTAGACTTATATTCTAATTTGGGTGCACACATTTTTGTTAATATAAAGCCGGATTATTTAATTACGCTTGTTCTTTTTTTGAACCGCACTATTTAGTTTGTTCATTTGTCTAGTTTGTTTAAGTTTACTTTATTATCACTATTATTTTCTGTATTATACTTACTTGCCTTCTTGTTACTTAGATTTTTTATTAAGTTAGTAGTTTTAGTTCATTATTTAGTGTAATTTTCCCCTCTTGTGTTCAGTTTTAGTTGGTCCTCATGTATTTAAACACTGTTCTTTGTCTAATCGAGTTTGTCTTGTTCTGTTCAGTTTGATTTAAGTTACCACAGTTGTGCCTGGCTTTTTGTTCATGATTGTTCTGAGCCTTTTGTTAATTTACTTTTTTTGACTTTATTAAATTTAAACTTATTTTTATTCCTTGTCTTTGCCTTTCTGTTTGATCCACTATAGTTCGCGTATGGCTATGTTTGTACCTATGACCAGTAACCCTAAACTGAGCTGAGGTCTGGTTTGGCATTTATGTTTGTGAAGGTACAAGCTACAGTAGGTGCTTTCAGTCATGAATCTGAGTTCATTCTTAGATTACAGCAAATTATTAAGATGAAGTTCAGTTTCATTTAAATGATTTGGAGAAATGTACCTATAACAGACCAGTGTTTAGATGAAAACTACACTACTGATCAAAAGTTTTAGAACACCCTAGTTTTTCCAGTTATTTATTGCAACTCAAATCATGTAAGTCCAGTGAAACTTGAAATGGTACAAAGGTAAGAACTAACAGACAGAGGTAAAAAAAAAAAAAAAAAAAAAAAAGATAAAAGATACAAAACACAAGTCCAAGCTCTGCCAAAACGACCTCAGGAAAAAAGAACAAGATGGTAAAGCTTGAAAACATGGAGCGTCCAGCACAGTGTCCAGACTTAAACCCCATCGAGCTGGTTTGGGATGAACTGGACAGAAGAGTGAAAGTCAAGCAACCTACAAGTGTCACACATTTATGGGAACTTCTGCAACAGACTTGGGAAGAACTTTCTGAAGAATATTTGATTTCTATTGTAAAATGAACGAGCCACAAGCTGTTATATCTGCCAAAGGTCGACACTTTCATAAATGTTCAACAGTGAACAGTAAACCGTAAAAAAATAGAAAAAGTGTGATGCTCTAAAACTTGTACATGTATCATTTACGAAAAGTCTCTCCAGTTCTCAGAATAGACTCGGCCCTTTCACTCAAAGTGCTTTAGAGTGAGTCAGTTTGAAGTGTTGCAGCTGATGAGAAAATGCACAACTTAGGACTTTTCTGAAGACGCAAAATCAAAAAAATTCTCAGAGATCTTGTTGTTGCTTTGTTTGACCTGAGGCACGGTAAAATGCAAACTACATAAATAACTTACTGTGACTATTTACTTCAAAACCAGTTTGTCTATTTCAGGTTTGAAGAGAAGGTCTGTGCATTGGAAAAAAAAAAAAATCAGCTGTGGACTTGCTTAAATTTTACAAAAAAAAAGAGTCTTCTGAAATACATTTTTGAGACCATGTTTTTTATTTGTTGTTTTATACAGCCATACAAACCTTTCCCTTTTCTTGCTTTACACATTAGCGCTTTTTTAGACAATTGAAACTTTAATCGACTTCATTAAACCACTGCGTTTCACACAAAGAGGAAGGAAATGACTTACTCTCAACATTCTGGGTATGAACAGAAGATAGTTTCTGTTCCTTTTAAGAAAAAATAAGGTACTGAAATTATTGTGAAATCATGTCATTACTTATTTTAGAAAAACACCTAAACTTTGTAGCTTTTGGTTTTTCACGTTGTGCTAAAGTTCCTGTTTCCTTCTTCTTTATTATAACTAGCAGCCTTTATTTCTCCTAAGTCTCCTTTTTTAGTGGCATTCAAATCCATTTAAAGCTGCACTGTGTAACTTTTTCATTATATGTTATTTATATCATTTTTTTGCCTGGAATATTCCACAGTATGACATTAAACAGCTCTTCTTTAAATTTATTCAGTTACAGGTGGTTTTATATCTCAAAAATACCTAGAAAAACAGGGATTCTGACTGTGAGCAGATTGCCTCTCCACAGGTCTGACCTGTAATTTGGTCCAGTTTGGTCTCCATGAAGATAGAAAAGTTTAATGCCATACTGTGAAGCATTCCAGACAAAACAATAACATCTCCATGAAGAAAAGCATATGACAGACCCTCCACGATAAAAGTTACACAATGCACCTTTAAGTAACAAATGACTTTAAACCAGGCGTCACCAAACTTTTTTCTCTGGGGGCCACATTATTGCTCGTGACTGTGTTAGGGGCCGGGGTCATGTCAGGCATATAACAGAATTGTAAGACCCTGATGACGCAGATTATATTCTTTGAAAACTGCCACACTTTCTTTATATATCAGACAAACTGCACAGGTCTTACACTGAACAAAAAATAAGAGCGGTGGTCCACTGTTCTTTGAAAACTCGGCACTCTCTGTCAACTTTTCACGCTTTAACACTCGCCATTTTGCTGTCCTTAACTGCACTACAGAACTCTGCAAGTGCGTTGACTCTCACTTCTTCTTCAGCTGATGAAAATTCTGCAGCAAATTTATTGAAATATAAATATAAATACTTCAAATAAATATCTTTTTTTTAAACTGAAATCAACAAAATACAAGATGCAGACGTGTTATTATTTGCCAGAAGTAATTAAAAAAAAATAGGCCATGACAACTTTTGAGGATTGCGTCATAGGGCCAGTTCAAGTGGTGGGGGGCAGAGGGGCTAGGGGTCGGTCAAAGGGGTGTGGTGGGCCGGAGTCAGCCCGCGGCCCTTAGTTTGATGACCCCTGACTTAAACAACTGTATTTGTGTGACATAGAATATAATCTTTACTATTAGTGTCTAAGAATAAGGTTTTGGATGGTCTCTGATTCTGATCAAGTATTCTCAGAAGTACTGTAATTAATTAAATATGTATTAGTCTGCAACAATTAAATGAAATATGTTTACGTGTTGCATTTGTATTTTTGTTTGCAGATTAATTGTACATTGTAAGATTTTTTTGTGCAGGTTTCGTTGTTCGTCGCTAGAGGGCGCTGTGGGGTTACAGTCCAATGTTTTTCTTCGGGGAATTTCCGAGTCTTTTGTGATCAGTCTGTGATTACTTTTTTTTAAGTAAGTTATCCTTTAAATGCATGATAGAGCTAAATTATTCTCTGACTGTGGGAAAGACTGACTGGCGTGAGTAGTGTTGTGTTTTAGTTTTAGTTTTTTATTGAGTGATGCAGAAAAGAGGGAGGCACTGTTACGTTAGCTTACAAGTGTATCATGTGTTCAGAGACTGTTCGTATGTTGTTTTTTATGTTTTTTATTTTATTTTTTTTTTTTTTAACTTTTAACTGTACTTTTCAAACCCATGAATTAGCCTATATAACAAGAAATGTTAAAAAAAAAAAAAAAAAAAAAAAAAAGATATCTAACCAACCAAGTTAAAAAATATTGCGCTTGATGTACCATTTGACCCAAAAGTATGTATTTCCCTCCACAAAATGGACATTTAGGACATTATTTAGCCTCAATTTGCAGACATAGCAATTTGATCACCTCTAAATCACGCTGACATCAACATTACTAGTAACGATAATAATATATATTGTGTTTTCCTATGTTACTGCACACTCTAATAGGCTTTTAACATGTTTTAATTTCTAGATACATCCAAAGAGCAAAGACTACCTGCAAACTGAAGGAAAAGCCCTCAGTTTTTTCCATTCAGCTCAGTTCCCAGACCATAATTCAAGACAAGACACAAGCATGTCTGTCAACTGGCTTCTACAGGTAATTATAGTAATTAGACTAAAGTTGAACTTCTCCACCAGGAAACAATTTTAAAAACAACACACTTCTTGCATTGCTGATAGGTGTTTTCAGATTATAGTGTGTGATAATTATGGCTGGGTATCATTAAGAAGTTGCAGGTAAGATACATACCTAGATACATAGGCCACAATACGTTTTTCAATACAGTGCACTTGATACGTTATATTTCAAATCAGTTCTATAAGCTTCAATAAAAAACAAAAATCACAGCTAAATCATGGCTGTGATACTAGTCTTTATAAATATGAAAAACGCCCTTTTTACGCATCAAAACAGTGAAAAAGTCAAATGTATGACATAAACAAGTTTCCTTCCTCTAAACCAGCAACACAATAGTACCTCTTTCACAAAGTAATTTTGTAAAATATATAAAAAAATACTCTTGGCAATGTAGTGATATAGCCTGATTCATCTGACCTCGCAGCATTAGGATTCGTTCGCTCGACAGCTACTTTTTTTATTTAACTAATCGCTGCTATTTGGTTGTGAGGAAGAAGAGCAATAACGTCTTTCCCCTTGATAAAATTCAACATACACACAACATTCTCTTTGTTCTGGCTTTAATCCTCGATCTCAGGAATCGTTGCCAACACAGAATGTCTGTCTTCGTCTACATCCGTCTCGACTGCTTTGTTTACTGTTGTGCTGTACCACAAAAGGGACCCAGACAGACGCTTGAGTTTGACGATATGGCTTCACAGCTCTTCAATGATTGGCAGGTGTGCGGTCGACAACTTCCAGGGTTCTTGCAAATTGTCTAGTGTATTCTGATTCCTGACCTAGTCGCTGGAGAGAAATTAAATTGAGTGGAGGTGGCACCAGCCTGGCTAATATTGATACAGCAGCCCACGATATCAACACTGTATAATCAAATTAAACTATGCAATATATCGATATTTCAGTATTTTTGTTGTACTTGCAGATGGGTGATAAGTCACTTTTATTACATTACCGTCCATCTGTCCCCATCTGTATTAAATATAATTGGCTTAAAAAATGTTATGTTGTCATTTGAAACTCAGGTTCATATCACATGCTTCATATTGTATTTGACCAGTGTTTCCAAACCAAACCCTATCTCCTCGTGTTTGTTGTGGTCTCCCATGCTCATGTTTTGGTACCAGTTTCCCTCTCAGATCAGCCCGCTGGTTTGAGTCGGCCTAAAGCTTGTAGCATGGACTCGAGGAGGATTATCTGCTAACGAGGTTAAGTCCACATCAGCGAAACGGAGGATTGAGGAGCAGTGCCAGACCTGACCCCGTGGAGAGGTCTGTGCAGAGGGAAGCACACTCATTATAGACCACAGACACTTCCGCCACTGGGGCTATCCTGCTCTAACCTACATTAGCTACTTTTCTTCAACATTGTTTTTGCAGGGAATGTCAGCCCCCTGAACTGAAGGGTTACCAATTCCAATCTTTATCAGACATTTTCTATTTTTGTCAAGGCTTCCAAACACACAGACAAGACATACAATTGTAAAAGATGCGTATCCAGTGAAAAAAAAACACCGTAAACAATGTTCTAGTCCTGGTTTAGTCCCAATTTGGATGTTTGGATGTGTTTTGTGAGTTTATATGTAACCAGTCTATCATTATGAACACCTAGGACCAGGATAAAAACTGAAATTTGCTGTAATTATGTCCAATAAATATGCACTGTCCCAATCAAATAAATTCATAAAATAAGAAAAAGTCATGGATTGTTGTTTTTATTGATGGCTCTGTAAGTAGTTTTTTTTCTCAATCTTTTCAAAATGTATTCAAAACAAAATAATGGAACCTAATGGGGTTGTAGAAAGTATTGAAAATCAGATGCAAATCTATACTAAAACTAGTATCGAAACTAGAAACAGGTATTGATTAGGGATGTAATATATATCCAATATAATATCCAAATATCCAAATCTCTCAGTACGATATTATCACAATATGCATCACACAGTATGATATTTATTGCGATATAATTGTATATAGGACAGTATTTTTGCTTTTAAATTAACTTGACAAGATTTTGGTGTGAATTATTTCCGTCATAATCCCAAGAATTCAAGTAAAAAACGTATTTCTTCATGTTTGCACTGAAATGAATCATGGGGTATGTATTTTCCAATCTTTATAAGCTGTTGCTACTATAAATGCATGCATTAAAGCAAAGGAACTTGTAATTCAATATATTGTGACAGTCCGAGGATATTATTGTGAGACTTCTGACGATACAATATTATGATATTTCGGTTTTTGTAACATCCCTGACAAAAATGAACCTTTCCTGAATAACTTTAGAATGATATTGAGCTGTATCAGAACAATTATCATTATTAATCATAACAATTATTATTATTATGATTAGGTTTCACTACTTTATTATACACATTTGTATCTGTTTGTCTTTTCCAGAGGCGTCCCTTGTCTGGATCTCTGGGAGTTTGGCCCCAGTGTCCCGAGAGTCCCCCTCTAGTCCTGCTCTAGTCCTCCTGCTGTAATCCGGTTATAGTCCTGGTAATCCTGCCCGGGCTCTGGCTCTGGTCTTCTCCTCAGGTCTGTTTGAGGGAGGCAGCTGGACCCTCAGGACTCAGGTAGGACCCCCCGCTCTGACCACACCCACCTCCATAACACCATACAGGCTTTTCAAGAGTACTGGGTTATTTTGACTATTCAGGTCCCAGTCAAATGGCAAAAAATAATAGTTAGGGCTATTTGGAAACCGTATTTAATTGTATTTTTTATGACAAGCATAGCAATTGTGAATAGATTTCCATTTTTAATATAGGATTCTGTTCAAAGTGCATATTATAAAACACATCCAGATTGACAAAATTAACTAAAAGTCTGAAATATGAACTGACAAACTACAGGGTTAGCAATTTTACGCAAATTAAACCAGGATATTTTGTTATTTGTGAAGGAAATTATCGTGCTTTCAAAATTGCAGCCTTTGTGATTTGCTAATTGAGTCCATTCAAATTGCGATTTAGATTTGATTGTGATTAATCTTGCAAAATCAGGACAATTTAAGAAGCGAAATTAAGATGGCTGTTTATGTCTCGTTAACTTTCAGGCCACATGCCAGAGGAATAGTATCTTACATTACGGGTTTGACTGTTGTTTAATTGTTAAATTGTGATATTTGATTTGATGTGAAAACTATACCACACTTTTATAAATTATATGTTTATAAATCACAACATGAAAAAATATTTGACACTTTCACTCACTGATAATTTCTTTAAAGAAGTCTTCATTCATGTCAGGCATTTTTATTTTACTATTACCTAGAGATGTAACAATAACCAAAATTTCGTGATATCGTATCGTCAAAAGTGTCACAATAATATGGTGGACTGTCACAATATATTTAATTACAAGTTTCTTTGCTTAAATATATTTTTTTATAGAAGCAACAGCTTATAAACATCAGGAACTACATATCCCATGATCATTTCAGTGCAGATAACACGAAGAAATATGTTTGTTACTTGAATTCTTGGGATTATGACGGAAATAATTCACACCAAAATCTTGTCAAGGTATTTTAAAAGAAAAAAGTGTCCTATCTGCATTTATATTAGCTTCTCCAAAATATCCCAATAAATATGGTGAGATGCATATCATGATAATATCGTACTGAGAGATTTGGATATCGTTACATCCCTACGATTACTTGTATAATACATTTCCATAACTCTATTTTAGTAAGAAACCATCATCATCTGCTAAAGTATTTTTAGTAATTAATCCAACTTTAAAATATTTGCTGTATCATGTTTACTTATTCATACTCCTTATAGTAATTATTTCAATACAAGTTTAATGTTCATCCCCTTAACTGTAAATTTTCTGTGTTTTCTAAATCTTTTTAATTAGCATTCTACAAAATAAGTAATATTTTTTATGATAAATTTGTGATCATCTGGAGCCAGGAGAGTATCTATTAGAAACTGAAGTCAAATGTGATAGTTGTATTAGTTATATTTTTGTTTCCATTTCACATTTTCACATTTCACTATTCACATATAATTTAAAGAAATAAACATGGAAGTAACTAGCTGAAAAACATATATTTATCACAAACTCATGTAAAAAAAAAAAAAGTGTCCAAAGAAAGTTGCTTATTCTTTACCAATTTCATTCCCTGTGATAATTGGATTTTTCTTGTAACAAGTGAAAAGTTTAGGCTAGAATATTTTACGTATCATTTGGTTCTTGGTTCTGGATCATTTGCCAGCAAAGATCTGTATGAGTACCAAACAAAAAAACACTTTGCAAGTAAAATAAAATCTTAGGGAAAGTTGTAGGCACTAGTTTATTGCTACTAACTTGATTTCCACCAGTAGACCAACTACAGAGACAAACCCTTGTAACTAGAATAATAAAGACAAACATGGGGATAATAACTGGAGGACATTTTGCTTGGAGGAAATCCTTTAGTGTTTGAGCCTCATAAACTGTTTAAAGACCTCTTAGATTATCTGTAAATGAGCTCAGGCTTTTGTGGAGCTCCTCCCTCTTGTTTACATATGATCCATACATACTTTCTGACCTGGTGCCTGGGACTTGTCACTGAACTTTGTGACCTAGTAATGAATGCTTGGTGCACTGAGTTAAATGATAATATTGAAGACTATCCAAATAAATCCTCTTCTCCATGAAAATGTTATTGTTTTGCTTGGAATGTACTTGTCAATCCTTCTACACTGTTTAAATCCAGAAGGCTCTGAAATTGGACTATAGATCTTGAAAATCCTCCGTCCAACTGCATTTAATTTGTTGCACGTGACTCTCAAATGCTGAAGACACCTCCTCTCGAAAGCTCTTGTATCATTCAGAACAAAATATAAAACTTCTGTTACCAGATGCATGTCAAATCAGGGAGACAAGATACGGTTACAGACCCACTCGTCTTTTTCTCAGTGTGGTTCTGGTAGCCAGGCTGTCTACACCTAGTGCCTCCTCTCAATTTCATTTCTTTCCAGCGACTAGGTCAGGAATCGGAATACACTAAATGGTTTACAAGAACCCCATATGTTGTAGACCGTGCACCGGCCAATAAGCAAAGAGTTGTGGAGCCATGACGTCAAACTAAAGCGTCTGTCTGGGTCCCTTTTGTGGTACAACACAACAGTAAACAAAGCGATGGATGTAGACGAAGACAGATATTCTGTGTTGGCAACGATTCCCGAGATCGAGGATTTAAAGCCAGAACAAAGAGAATGTTTGGTGAATTTTATCAAGAGGAAAGAAATTATTACCCTTCTTCCTACGGGATTTGGCGCCTTACGTATGTCATAAAATAGCAGCGACTGGTTAAAAATAAAAAAAACTACCCGTCTACTGTCAAGAGAACAAATCCTAATACTGCGAGGTCAGACAGATCCCACGAAGTGAAACCAGCTGACGAATCAGCCTACGGTTCTGGCTGACCAGGTTAGGAATGCACCCCTGTATGGCATTAAACTTAGGCTCTCTATCTCCAGGGAGACAAGCATGTGAAGCCACTAGACCAGTCAGGCAAGTCTGCTCACAGTAAGAAAGCACGTTTTATTTTGTTCAGGATTTTTTCAGTAGTAAAAACACCTTAAATAAATGCTGGATACGATTAATGCCATGCTGTGGAACAAAGCATATCATCTCCATGGAGTCGCAGATGGTGGACAATCTGACCAGAAAAGTTTCTTTGTGCACCTTTTAATAAAACAAACATAAATTAAAAACAATATATACTGTGTACTGTATATATATATTGCAATGAAACATGTACTTCAGTAATGGAAGAAATTCCCCGCTAATTCAAATAATGGACAAATGCATAAAAGGTGAATATGTGAATTTATTGATCCACTGTAATTACCGTTACCTAATCAATTTAAAACATTTATATAATACTGGAATAACTTAGTGATTCATTATATCTTTGGTTATTGTGTGACAGCCAAAGTGAAAGAGCTGATTTTAGCACTGCGCTGTGGTGGGACCAAACTGGGCTTGGATTTAAGCCTTCAGCAGAGTCCAGCTGTGAATCTGCTGCTTTTGATCTGTGTGGGAGTCTCCTGTGCACAGAACATCCTGACAGACCAACCTAAAGCCTAAAGACCCAAAGCAACATTTGTAGACAGAGTAGGCAGAAGCTTTTGTACTTGTATTTACTTCCCTGGCCTGTTGGTAATCTTAAAGTCCCATCAGCTAAACAACCAAGAGTTTTTATTTGAGCAATACTTTATCTCATTTAATAAATTTAATTTTAACAAATTTCATAGGGTCCTCATAGGGGTGACAGTCACTCAGGTGATTAGAATGCTCATCCACTAAGAATGGTGGTTACTGCCGTTGTGTCCTTGGGCACACAACGTTGGTCCTTTCTTATGTATGAATGTAGTGTGAGTATCTGTCTGTCTCTTCTGTCAGTCTGTCCCAGGGCAGCTGTGGCTACAGAAGTAGAGTGGATAATGACAGTGTAGTGCTTTCAGAGGCGGCCATTCAAATCTGAGCACAACAAACGTGTATTTTGAATGTAGTTTAAAGGTGCACTGCGAACATCGAAATGTTATTGCTTTGTCTAGAATGTTCCACAGTATACATTAAACCTATGTGTCATAAGGAAGACGAGCAGGTATCAACACTATGAAGGAATTCTTATATTTTTGAGCAACAGAAATACACGTGATGAATAAATGCTAGATAGAAGTGTTTAATGTCATACCGTGGAACATTCCAGGGAACGTAAGTAAGGAACAGGCCCTCCAAATCCAAATCCACTTTATTTATATAGCACATTTTATTTTACAAACAAAGCAGTTTCCAAAGTGCTGCACAGAGATCAATAAAATGAAGACAACAAAAAGGTAAAACCATAAAATCATAAAATAGCAGTAAGTAAGTAAAACAGATAAAATAAATAGAATAAATAAAAGACAGAGAGGACCACACAACTCACGCGGTGTTAAAAACCAGAGAGTAAAAGTGGGGGCTGTTCGGACATGGGGGAGCAGAGCTTTCCAGAGTTTAGGGCCAGCCACAGAGAAGGCCCTGTCCCTCTAGATTTTAAGTCTCGTTTTAGGCACCACGAGCTGGAGCTGACCCACAGACCCCAAAGTGCGCGTGGGCCCTCCACCAGAAAATTTGCATAATGCACCGTAAAAATATTTTAATGTGTGATAGTTGAAATAGCCCCATCCTGGTCAGCTCCTATTGGCTAGAGTTAATGTTGACTTGGCGTCTTGTTTGTATTAACCTATTACCCCGGCTCACTGGTCTAGCGATTCCTAGTACAGTCGGCTATATCAGTATCCAAACAGAGCAAAGCATCATGGTCTATGTAGCTGCCGTATACTGTTCTACTGCTTTTATGTCCAGGATCTTATTACTGGATAAACTGTAGCTTATCTTCACCAGTTTTGATAGGTACTAGTTCATGTTACATTCATGTTGGTGCCTTCTTTCTTACATTTTCTTTTTAAGATCTGCATTTTTACAAATTGAGATCTATTTCTATGCAAAGGGCATCATACATTACTGTAACTGGAGTGTGGCACCTGTTGGTATCGACTTGGACTTAGAGAAACTTTATTGATCCACAAGGGAAATTATTTGGACACACACACTTATCACAATATAATATAATAACAACAATCAAAAATATACATGGTAATAATAAATTAAAAATAAGTAGCAAAAGTATATCGCAATTTCCACTAACCCATATTCGGTGGTGTTATTATTTTGGTGGAGATAGACCAATCTATTAAATCCTCTGAATAAACTAGACTGTAGTTCTCCTTTGCATTTCACCCATCCTTTCAGGAGCAGGATTTTCCCAGTGCTGCCCACTAAAATCTTACTTATAATATACTTTCCCACTATAGATTAGTGCATTGTATAAATAGTAACTGAGTTTATAGCTATTTCATATCATAGTACATATACAAATGGAGTCCAAACTGTCTTGATTGACTTCTACAATTTGGTATTCCCCATTAAAAATATAATTGTTGAGTATATATAAATATATATATATAATGTACAAGTATATGTGTAATTGTATTATTTTTGAATTTCCTTCGGGATCAATAAAGTGCATCTATGTATTACAGTGATACAGCTGTACTGGTCTAGACCTGGCTGAGATTAGGGTCACTCTCCGTCAGTCTTAACTCAAACTGACACTGATCCTAAATGACTACACTCACACCACTGGGCTGTTAGACTCTTTATAGTGTATATGGGGTATATAACAGTTGTATATAGCTTGTCTAGAGGCATAGCTTTGCCTTTTATGGTACAAAATCTGGAGAATACATTATTTTTTACAATCCAGATTTGTGTGCACATCCCCCATTATTCATAAAATGCGTTTGTAATGTTATATAAGATTAAAAAAAAGATTATATAAACAGAAAATAGTAAGAGTCACTGTTCCACAATTGCTGGAAAAATCATACATCATGCATTTGGCACCACTTTCTAAAGCAAATAAGAACACATTATTTCACTTTCATTTATTTATGACATTGAACTCGTGTCAGCTTTTGTTTCCTGTGAATAGGCCGAGTAATTACAGAGACTATAGATATTCTACAGTGTTGTGAATTTATTTGTTTCCCTGTGTCTCTGTGTTGCAGGATGTTGAGCTGGGTGGTGAAAGTGGTGCCACAGCCTCCGGACCTGCCCAAAAACCAGGAAGTGCCCGCCACTGCCCCGCCCCCTGCTCCACCCCCTGCTCCACCGGTACGATTTGATGATACATGGACTCCTAGGATATGGACACTATGCACTAATGTCCATTGATTTTTTTCATTTATTAATAAAAAAATAATAATACTAGATCATTCAAACACAGTTGATTTCCAATATGAGCTCAAATTAGTATCTAGTTTCGTACTAGTTTTAGTATTGATTAGTATTAGATTTTTCACCATCCTACTCCTGTACAGTTTACATTGCTTCTTCTTGTGTAAGTTCATATTTTAATTTGCTAAATAACACTTAATACCGATCGCAGACCTCTGTATTGTGCTACATTGTGATGGTTTTGTTGTATATTTTCTTATATTACCAAAAAAATAATGTAAAACGATATACCTGGATTAATATTGACAGTAGGTGTGGGACTTGATTTAAAAAAATCGAATTAATTACATGCTTTGTAATTAATTAATCTCAATTAGTCGCATAACAATATTTGCCCCAAAAGTGACATTTATTTTATGTAAATGAATTTTAGTAGATGGCTTCATCAAATAATATATACAGACACTTTTAAGATCAAGCTCTTTTAATGTCTGGAAAGAAATTTTGAAAAAATAAATTGCATTTAATTTCAAAATAGTAGACAAAGGTTAAGTCCCTGTCCAAAATTGAAGAGACTAAAGTTAAAGTGCCATTTCACTTTGAGTTATTAACCTCTGAACATAGTGCACACTGCAAAAAACTAAATCTAGCCAAGTTAAGATGATTTGAATTAAGAAAGTTTTATCAGGATTTGAGTAAATTTCACTTGACAAGTAAAATTATCTGCCAGTAGAGCAGGACTTTTTGTAGTTAAAATATGAAAATGCATCATGTTACACTTAAAATAAGAAAAACAACAACTTTTTGCACTTAAAATAAGAAACTAAATCAAATGTTGCTTGAATTAAGAAAAACACACTTATTCCATCGGTAGACAATTTTACTTGTCAAGTTGAATCTACTGAAATAAAGCAAAATGTTCTTAATTTAAGTCATTTTAACTTACCTAGATATTGTTGTTTTTTTCCAGTGTACATCTTAAAAGTAAATAAATAAATAAATATTGAAGTGCCAGTTGTCAGTTTGACATTTGTTATTTCTTCAACAGGAGAAGAAAGTGACGTTCAAAGAAGAAGGTATGAAATACAAATTCAGCTTTTGATAGTAAAGTTATTTCATTACTTTAACTCGTCTTTTTCCGTTTGACAGCTCCAAATACAAACAAAAACAACGATGCCCCAGCAGCTGAAGGAAGCAGGTCAGTATCATATTATACTGAGGACTGACTTTCAAAAATGTGTAATGCCGGACGTACACTGCGCGATATTTTCGATCGTTTCATTCAGCTCCAGCTCAAACTAAACGACCAATCACAGAGTTTAAAAGTTCAGAGCTTGTGATTCATGTTCTCACACTATACGATCCGATGCTCAGATGCGAGAGTAGATTGGATTTCAAACAGGTTTGATATTCTTGTGGCCTACGATTGCCGATTGGGACCTGGTCATGAGGTATTAATTGTTTCTCGTTATCTCATGTTTACTACACGAAGCACAACACACGATTAAGCCAAAACTCGTCCCGATCCCAAAAACAGTCGCACGAGTAAAGGTATTTATAGTAAGGTATTTATTTCGACTCAACATTTGTATTCTTCTGTTCTTAATTAAAATGGATTTCTGAGACGATGCCTAAAGAAAATATGAATTAGTTTATGAATTTGAAAAGATTGAAGTGCAAACGTGTATACCAAAGTTAATTAAATGCCTATTACTACCATTGTAAAAGAATGATTTTGATGCCAAACCTTGTCTACTAATAAATGGATAATGGTTTGTTTCATGGGCATATAACTGTTCTCCATCTAAGGCTCGTTGTGGCTCTTTTATACTCGATTTCTTGTAAGAGCTAAAATTGGAAGCTCTCTGACATTCTCGTTTTGTCAAAAAGGAGGTCAGGAAAAAGGTTGGAGACCGCTGGAGTGTACAATTGCTGTTTGATTTGCTTCATTTGTTTGTGAAATTAAAGCGCACGTACCTGATTTCAAACCATGAGTAAGGATCATGTTTTAGTTTGAACTTGTTTTTTTTCTGCTGCGGAGATGACACAAAAACTACTGTCTGTTTCCTTGTAGTTTTCAAATCTTTACTACTACCAGATTTTTGAATCACATCTGACAGAGAAAATACCATGTAAAATGAACAGATTATATTTTACACTCTCAATTTGTGTCTTATTTCACATCTTTAACCAAACACATGATGTAAAGAGCATTTATCTTGACAAAAATAAACTCAAAATAAGTACTTAATTTTTTTTTTTTTTAATATTGTATTCTTCTTCAGGCCTGGGACTGCAGTATTGTCTTGGATCAGTAGTGCCATGCCTCAACCTGTGAACGTTAACAACTCTGCCAACAAGGTTAGACCATTTTACACAATAGTTTTTAACATTAGTCACTTTTTTCAAATAACTGGTCAAGTAATATTGTTTCTGTTTTATGCTTTGTTGCAGGAAGAAAGCCCACCACCAAGGTATCTGATGTTTTTTTTTTACTCAGAATGATGCAGAATCATGTTAGTAACATTAACACCATTCATAATCACCTACAGAACATAAATCACAGGCTACAACACATGAACCAGGACTAAACCAAGACTGAATCAGAAGTGAACCAGGACTGAACCAAGACTAAACCATGACTAAAACAGAATTGAAACAGGACTGAACCAGGACTAAACCATGACTCTAACAGGACTAAACCAGGTCTAAACCAGGACTAAACCAGGAGGACAGAACCAGGACTAAAACAGGACTAAAGCAGGACTAAAGCAGGACTAAACCATCTCTAAACCAGGACTAACCCGGGATGACTAAACCAGGACTGAACCAGGACTAAACCAGAACTAAACCAGGTCTAAACCAGGACTAAACCAAGACCAAACCAGGACTAAAACAAGTCTAAACCAGGACTAATCTTAGACTAGAGAGAGAACCCCAAGCCCATGAAGCAGGTGTCCACAAAGTGCGACTGGGCTACGGCTGCGCTTAGCCCATTAGGGCGTGGAGCTCTGTGCCGGTCCTTTTGCCTGTGGTCACCTCACAGTCTACACAGGCTTACCTCTAGGCTCGTCCTGACACAGTCCTGGTTTAGTCCTGGTTTAGTCAAAAGAAACAGAAAACACACACCAAAATTCTTGTAGAGGTACAAATGCAAGGAGCGGCAAGACAAAAGTAAAAAAATGCATAGCACATACAGATGGCCGATATCCAAAAGCTTTTTTTATTTTTAAAATAATGTTTCGGCAAAAAAAAAAGCTTTCATCAGATATTTTTCTTGTTTTCGACCACAGCACATAAAATATTTGCCAGCCCAGGTGCTCATATACCCCTCCAACAAATGGGAAGTCCCAAAGTGAGGTCACACAATGACTTCACCCCTGCTTTTATTTTGTCGACATAACCTTTTTGTAGAAAACGAATTTGTGACAAACCTCTGTCTTTTCATTCCTTTAAAAAGCAATAACCCAGAAGACGAGTGAGTAACAAGAACAGTGGTAAAGTCTGCTTTGTACTGAGCTTCTGCAGATTATATGAAAGTCCCATTTGCTTTATTTTCAGATGCTACTAATATAATTTCCACATCATTTCACATGTTAATTTAGAGGCTTTTATGGAAGTGAGCATTGAGTTTGAATTTTTAGTATGATGACAGCACATATTAATCTATACATTTTACTTTGCAAACAAACAAACTGCCAAATAGTGATCAGCTTTGCCTATTCAAAAAGCTCTTAAGAGTTGCACGCAGCTTTAGTTAGTAATCCTCAACTTTCTAAACAGATATTATGTGTTTTTAAAAGTGTTTCTGTCCCACAACAGCAAAGGGATGATCGCCTGGATCTCACAGGGTTTGGAGAAAGTTGTTCCTCATCCAGAACTGAAGAACAAAGATCCTCCTCCAGCAGAGAAGCCAAAGGAGGTCAGACCGGTCTCTGCTCCAGGTAACAAAAATAAAAAAGAAATGAAAACTGGAAAAACAATGTATGGACTAAAAAAATGTTGTTTGGATAGAGGCAGGCACATCCCATAAAAAATTCCAAAAAGAAAAATTGGAAAAAAGAAAAAAACACACTGCCGTTCTTTGGAGCTCTCATGTATTTATTTATTTTTTTGTTAGTAACATTGTGGTGTTATTATTATACTATTTTAAGGTCAAACCCTTCTTCAGACATTAACAAAAAAAAATCCCCACTGCTATGCCTTCCCCACTATTTCATATATATCACAAAATTAAACTTTAAATATAAACATTTGCGAGTCTAATTGGGGTGTAATTATTATTATACTTTAATTCTGATTTAAATGTGATATGAAGTAAACATTTTATCAATCTTTTTGAATGTTTTTTTGTCTTCTGTGTTAAGAAAAATTAAAAAGGTGAAAACCTATTGATCGTGTGACTGTGTTTAGCTGCTCCAGTGACTGTGGAAGTGAAGAAAAGCCCTGAAGAAAAAGCCGAGAACAGCACAAGGTAGGACATTATATTTTGAGTTTTTGTTGTTGTTGTTGCCAATTTTATTTTGTGTTTCTTACCCCACTGAGACTTAATCATTAAAGGTACACTATGTAACTTTTCTGGTGGAGTGTCTGCTTCTTGCTTGTCTCCGTGGAGTTGTGTAATGCTTCTCTTCAAGTGTTCCACAGTATGCCATTAAACTTGTCTATCTCCATGGAGACAAGAAGCTCATGCCACCAGTCCAGGTAACAACAGGTCATATCTGTGGAGAGGCAACTGCATGTTTTTTCAGAGGATTTTTTAGCAATTAAAACTCCTTTAATTGAATAAATAAATGTTAAATAAGTTTAAAGCCATACTGTGGGGCATTCCAGACAAAACAATAACATCTCCATGGAGACAAACAGAAAAGTTACATAGTGCAACTTTAAATGCCAAGGATATCTATGCAGAATCATTTGTAATAACTTATCTTTTCTTTTTTTCAGTATGATCGAGTGGATAAAGTCGGGCATTGAGAAGATGGTCCCTCAGCCGGAGCATCTCAAGGCAAAAGCAGAAAACACGACCAAGAACGAAGCTCCTCCTGCACCCAAAGGTGAATACTACTAAGAATGTGCAAAAATATTGAAATATCGATATATCGTATCGTTTAATGTGATGATACAGTATCGATATCATGGGCTGCTGTATCAATATATCTCCAAGAGGATTTGGTATATTTTACAAAATAATTTTGTTACAGCACTACAGTTTTGTTCTCGTTTATGTGAGACATTTGACATTTTCACTGTTTTGATGGGTAAAATTGGTATTTTTCTTGGTATTTTTCATATTAACTTTGCACAAGAAGTGGTTTAACAAAGACGTCTAGTATCACAGCCATGATTTAGCCATTATTTTTTAATTCAACCATATCAAATCGATTTGAAATACCGTATTTTTCAGACTAAAGGTTGCTATGGAGTATAAGACGCACCAGCCAAAAAATGCGTAATGAAGAAGAAAAAACATATAAGTCAGACCGGACTATAAGCCGCACTTTTTGGGCGAAAGAGACCGGGAGCCGACATTTCATCTTCTGCATCTTTCTGCTTCCTCTTCTGTGTAGCTGTCATCAGACTCAGCATCAGTTCCAGTTAGAATTATTCTTGACAGGATGGTTTTGGTTGTCACTGAAGTCCAGGCTTTGTCGATCCATCCTGTGACTTCCAGGAAAGTTGCATGGTGCACCCTCCCTGTTGCCATGAAGCTGTGTTCTTCATCCCCGCTTGCCGCGAGTCTCTCACAAGTTTCTCGCTCACTCCAAACTTTCTTTCTGCTGCTCAATTACTTTTTGGCTGATTATTTCACTACTTGCAGTAGGACAGCAGCTCTTTATACAGGAGACATACACAGTAGAGCAAAGTGACAGTGGTACGGTAATAGCAGATACTGGCACAAAAGCCTAAAGTGCGCTCTTGCAGCTGTCAGTGTGAAAATTTTAATATATAAGTTGCACCAGAGTATAAGTCGCAGGATTCACCCAAACCATGAAAAAAAGTGCAACTTATAGTCCGAAAAATACTGTATATTGTATTGAAACGTATCGAATCGTAAGCTCATTGTATTGACATATGTATCGTATCGGGGTATGTATCATATCTGCAACTTCTGAATGATATCCAGCCCTAATTACTACATGTATTTATTTTAACAAATGAGGTACTTTATGCTTTGATTAAACCTCACTGTGTTGTCTGTTTGTTGTTTTCAGTTGAAGCTGCTCCTCCTGCAAATCCTCCTCCTCCAAATCCTGCTCCTCCTCCTCCTCCTCCAGCTCCAGCTCCAAAACCAGCCGCAGAGGAGACGTAAGTGTGCAGCGATCAAATTCTGTATTATATTCTCAACACACACACTTGGTACTGAAATAATTTTAGATGAATCTGATCAATCAATTACCAACCATACAATAACTTATCTTATTTCTTGTTCTCTTAGGTCATCAACAGAACAGCAGACAAAGTAGGTGCAGTCTTTGCTTTGGAATATACAGTAATTGATTATATATTTATTCTAATATCTGTGTGTTTTCAGTGTGGTGGGGTGGATTGTCAATGAGATCGGACGGATGCTGCCTCAGCCTGTTCTCAAATCGGTGAGTTACATTATTTTATTGAATGCCCATGTATGATTACCTTTTATCGAACAATTAACTGTATAGGAAATAAATAATGTCACATTTAGAGACAAATATTTAAATTACACTTTTTTTCTTTACAGGAAAACAGTGAGAGTGGACCAAACAGTAAGTAGCTGCAAATTTATAAACATACATCACTATACACAGTCAAATATAAAACAAATATTCTTTACTGAGAAACACAGAAACAAAATTTAAACATTTATTCCTCTTTAGGATCATATTATAGTTTAAAATGTGTTGCATCAGTTTGGTTTAATTAAAAACATAAGAAAATACAACCCAGCATGCATTTAAGAGACACTGGATTGGTTGATAAATTTTGATTGATCTGATTGGGTCATAATCGTTTTTGAGACGCCTGATTAGTTGATGGAATTTTAGTATTAGTATTAGTAGTAGTTAGTAGTAGTAGTAGTAGTAGTAGTAGTAGTAGTAGTGTTAGAAATTGTTTTTTATCTGTTGATGAGATTTTGAAGCATCTGATTGGTTAATTAGCTTTTTCCGACTCGTGATTGGTTGATTGGTTTTGTCGGCTGCAGCTGATTGGCCGGTGTGCGTGTCAGTCAGTCGGGAGGCGGGCTCTAACCTCTTCTCTCTGTGTTTCAGGGGGAACAGGTGGATAGAGCCCCTCCCACTGACTCCACCCTCCACCGTGCTTCAGCGAGGCCAAGGCTAAAGTTTAGCACTAACTTTGTGTTAATGCTGAGTTTAAATATTATAAAACATTTAACTAAATCTAAATGATGAAAATGTACTCACTGACAGAACATGATTGTACTTGTATATATGCTAGGAGTCTTTGTGCATACTGATAAACTTACTCATAAAGTACTCAATAGACAAAAAATATATATATATTTTAAATAGAAATATCACCTTAAAAGTAGTATGAGATGGATCGTGCACTTTGGTGGGACTTAAAAAGGCAAAGTTCTTGAATTAAAGCACTTTTTAAAGCAAAATAGGACACTCTTGTACATTTCACTGTACATAGAACACTGTTTTGACTGTGTTTTGTTGTAAATATTGTCATGTACATAGTTTTTTACATGGAGATAAATGTGAGAGACGGGTGTGTTGTTGAACAGTTTTACATATTTTGACTTTATTTCTGTTTTGAGCTATTTCACTTGCCTGCTGTTAGTATTCACTGATCTTTAATATTCTTATTTTTCTGTTATTACATCAGTTAGTCTGCAGCAGTGGATATGAATTTATAGATGCTGCTAATTTTACCGCCAACAGAAAGTGAGTAGCAATGAATAATTCTTACAAAAGTATATTTCTGTACGCATTTAAGCCTTTATAAAACTCTGCTCACTGTTACTGGTACTTACGGCTTATGAGATTATAACTGTGCAGACATTTATTTTGTGTTTAACATGCACTGGGTTTTTGGATTTTTGTTTAAGAAGATATCTGATTTTTAACTTTAAGACCTGATGAGATTATCCCAGACGACCTTTTCCCATTGTTTCCATGGTGATTACTGTTTACAATACAATCTGCTGGTGCTGGTCCATTTTACAAACTTCTGCAAACTTTTATGAATGAAAACAAATGGAAATAAGATGCAGCATGTGTTAATGTAATAAATAGATAATGTATAATTTGTACATTCTTATAACAAAACCAAAATCCATGTTTCTAGAATTTAAAACTAAATAAATGTGTATATAAGTCTTGCACTGTCAGTTTTGTGGTCAAAGCCAATCAACCAATCAGAGTTCTCCATTTGAATACTTAGTTCCATAATATCCCACAAAACATTTTAATACAGAAAATACCTCTAGATCTGAGCTTGGTTTTTGTTATGGTTTGGGTCACTGTAGCGCTTCTCTGTTTGATTTTCAAATTTTCTGTCACAAAATAATCACAATTTATCATTCGTTCAAGCAGAGGTGGGTAGAATAGCCAAATTTCATTCAAACAAGAATACTGTTACTTCAAAACAATATTACTCAAGATGGAGTAACGAGTTGTGGTGAAGATTTACCACTCAATCTACGTTCCTACCTTCACCTATGGTCATGAGCTTTGGGTAATGACCGATACAAGTGACCAAAATGAGTTTCCTCTGCAGGGTGGGTGGGTGCTCCCTGAGAGATAGAGTGAGGTCACACGGGAGGAGCTCAGAGTAGAGCCGCTGCTCCTCCACGTCGAGAGGAGCCAGCTGAGGTGGCTCGGGCATCAGTTTTGGATGCTTCCTGCATGCCTCCCTTAGGAGATGTTCTTGGCATGTCCCACCGAAAGGAGGCCCTGAGGAAGACCCAGGACACACTGGAGGGACTATGTCTCTGGGCTGGCCTAGTTACATCTTGGCGTCCTCCTGGAGGAGCTGGAGGACGTGTTTGGGGTGAAGGAGGTCTGGGAGTTCCTGCTTAGACTGCTGCCTCCTCGACCCGGCCCCAGATAAGCTGAAGAAAATGGATGGATGGATAAAGAGTATAAAAGTATATAGGGAAACCACTACTACTCAAGTAAATTAAAAAAGTGACTGGACATAACATCTGATGCAACTGGACAAGAGAAGATTTTGTCACTTGTAGACTTACTCACAGTGGGAAAAGTAACCAAAGGTTACTCTTCAATAAAAATATTATTCAAGTAGGAGTAAAATTATGGTGTCTGGAAACAAATCTGGTAGGTACAGCTCTACTCTAGTAAATGTTTTTAAGTACTGCCCACCTCTGCATTCAGATTATTTTCTCATACTAATACATATGTTTTAAAACTGTGTATCTGCCTACACATGCAAAGCTTTACACTATAGATGTGACACAACTATTTTACAACTCATGTTTGTTAGTTATCTGTCTGTTATTATCAGATATGTGCTGTAAAAATACTGTATCTTGATTTGTAGCAGTAGTGAACAGCAGCCAGACCAAAAATGACCTGGTTTTGGAGGATCTCGAGCAAAATAATGAAAAACAAGAAGCACCCGCTCAGAAAGAAGACACGCAACCAAAGAAACAGGTCTGTGTAATGCATTTTAAGGTTAAGGTTATCATGCTGGGGAGCTCTGCATGTATGTCAGTGGTGGATTTTTCAGTTTGAAGTCTGAAAACTCAAGTAAAATTATAATATAAATGTGATTGTTTATGGTCATCAGCTGCAAAGTATTAACATGCACTAGAGATTTGCACATGATAAACCTCACCTGACTTTGTTGTGTCCAGGCTGAAGACACAGAGGCACAAACAGAACATCCATCTCTGAAGGACAGCATCAAGAAGGAGACAGAGGAGGCAGTGCTGGCCCAGATGGAGGAGAGGTGGGACTCTATATCATTCATACCATAAATTTAGTCTGAGTCAAGTGATTTGGTGTAATATGTATACATAGGCAAGGCAAGGCAAGTTTATTTGTACAGCACAATTCGTACATGAAGTAGTTCAAAGTGCTTTACAGAATAAAAAATGCATTAAAACCACAATAAAAACAAATCAAAACATAAATAATCATCATAAAATTAAAGATTAAAATAAAAAAAGAGAGCGAGACATTTGCATAAATCAGAGAGAAGTGTGCGGAATGAAAACCTTTCCGTCACCTTCAGTTACCTACCGTAAAGGGAGAAATGTGAATGAGAACTTCCCCCATTAAAGTGGGAATAAACACCAAAACTTCATCCACAATCACAGTCCAAATCGCCTGGTGGACACTAAAATGCCATGTACATAGTTTAGTTAGAAATATTTTTTAAAAGTTATCACCACAATCCTGAGAGTCCTAGCTTATTCTGCACTGTTATGTCCTGTTTCCTGAAAATCCATATGAAAAACCAGAGTACTACATACTTTTTGTATAGGTGTATAATGTTTGCATAGTTTTATTTCACTTTCAAATATTTGTCAAAGCATAACACATATATGCACAAACATATTTATTCTCCTGTATTCTTGTGTATTGTCCTGTAGACTGCAGCTGGAGCGTCTGGCTGCTGCTCGGGCTGCAGAGGAGCTGGCCCTCAAAGCAGCAGAGGAGGCTGTGAGACAACTGGAGAAAGAACAGGCTGCGAAGATCATCATCGACTCCATCAATGAACCACAAGACCAGTGAGTACTCAAAACAGTATTTAAGTGTCTGCCAAGTCTTGTGTCTGTGGATATGTTATTGTTCTGCCTGGAATATTCCACATTATGGCATTAGAGTTGTTTACATTTTTTATTCAACATTTATTTCACCAAGAAAGTCCCAACTTATCTCTTTTTCAAAGGAGACGTAGTTAATTAAGTTATAGTTGAACCAATACCATTACTACTACTACTACTACTACTACTACTACTACTACTACTACTACTACTACTACTACTACTACTACTACTACTACTATTACTACTGTTTCCACTACTACTGGTACTACATTACTATGTTTGTGTGGTTCAGTCTGCCAAACATTCAAGAGGAGGAGAATGAGGATGACCCTGAGTAAGTTTGTTATAGTGCTTTATATCTTCAAACCTACAGTTTTGCTTAACTTTTACTTATTATAGTATTTTATGGATAATTGCTTTTGAATACAACATCCCCATGTTATACCAATTTTAGTGTAGTAAAGTTAGGTCTAATTCTTTTGTACCATATACTAATACTGTAGTTAGTAGTAGTGATGCTATACTGCCACCTCCTGGTAAATCTTGATCAAGTTTCTTCTTTGCCGTACAAGTTTGCTTACAGATATACAATATTAAGAATAATATATAAGATTTAAACAAACACTACCGGTCAAAAGTTTTAGAGCACCATACTTAAATTAAATTTTTTTACTGTTCACTGTTTACTGTTGACCAAAATGTACTCTAAACTTTTGATTCATGAAAGTGTCCACCTTTGGCAGATGTAACAGCTGAACACACTCGTGGCTCGTTCTTTTTGCAATAGAAATCAAATATTCTTCAGAAAGTTCTTCCCAAGTTTTTTGTAGAAGTTCCCATAAATGTGTGGCACTTGTAGGTTGTTTGATTTTCACTCTTCTGTACAGTTCATCCCCAAACCAACTCGATGGGTTTTAAGTCTGGAGACTGTGCTGTACACTCCGTGTATCATTCGTTCATTCATTTTTCAATATAAAACCAAAAATAAGAAAATGAAAAAACAACAGTTTTCTTCATTATTTGTCTCCAAAGCTAAAATGAAAAAAATGGATAACGATTTGTTTTTTTAGTTTTTGATTTTGTGTTTAAATGAATAATGGAAAAAACAAATAAAGGTAGTTTCCGTGGCTTAAACTGTGACGCCGCATACGGACTGAATCAGGGCTAAAACAGGACTGAACCAGGACTGAACTGTTTTCAGTCCTGGTCTGGTCCCGGTCTCAGTCCCGGTCTCAATCACTGTCTGATCCTGGCCTGATCCCAGCCTCATTTTCAGGCAGGTGCGTGCATGCGTGTGTGTGTGTGTGAATGTATGCACATGTACATATATATCAGGGAGGTGGATCATTGGGGGGTGGGCCGGCCTGGTCGATGGGCGACCGCATGCGGAGCCCTGGGGGTGGCCCCCGCACCCGCCTTGAGGGGCGTAGATGTGGCTTGGCCTGCTCCCACTTGAGTGGGGATCTGAGGCAAAATGCCAACACACACTTAACAAATTTTCAATACTCAAATTAAATAGAAATAATACAGGTCAACATTAAATCATCCACATAGCCTGTCTATCCCCCCCCGGCACACACACACACACGCGTATGCACACACATACACACATACACGTATATGCACACACGTGCACACACGCACATACACACACGCACGCATATATACACACACACACAACACACACACACAGACACACACATAAGGTTCACACTGTCACCAACCCCTGTCATCTTTGTCGCTATTTGTATGTAATGTTCAGTCGTAATGTCTGTCTTGTATCTTGTATGTTGTTTGGTTCCTATTTGTTGTAATCTATGTAGTTTGCAAATAAAAATTATTTAATAAAAAAAAAAAAAAAGAAAGTTCTTCACAAGTTTTTTGCAGAAGTTCCCATAAATGTGTGGCACTTGTAGGTTGTTTGACTTTCACTCTTCTGTACAGTTCATCCCAAACCAACTCGATGGGGTTTAAGTCTGGAGACTGTGCTGTACACTCCGTGTATCATTCGTTCATTCATTTTTCAATATAAAACCAAAAATAAGAAAACGCAAAAACAACTGTTTTCTTCATTATTTGTCTCCAAAGCTAAAATGAAAAAAATGGATAACAATTTGTTTTTTTAGTTTTTGATTTTGTGTTTAAATGAATAATGGAAAAAACAAATAAAGGTAGTTTCCGTGGCTTAAACTGTGACGCCGCATACGGACTGAATCAGGACTAAAACAGGACTGAACCAGGACTGAACTGTTTTCAGTCCTGGTCTGGTCCCGGTCTCATTTTCGGTCTGGTCCCGGTCTCAGTCCTGGTCTGGTTCCGGTATGGTCCCAGACCTGTTTTAGTCCTGATTCAGTCCTGGTTCAGTCCTGGTTCAGTCTTGGTTCAGTCCGGCATCACAGTTTAAGTCATGGAAACAGGAAACGGTCGTTATCTGTTTTTTCCATTATTCGTTTAAACACAAAAAATCGAAAACTGAAAAAACAAATCATTATCTCTTCTTTCATTTTGGTTTTGGAGACAAATAATGAAGAAAATAATTGTTTTTTCTTTTCTTTTTTTTTTTTTGGTTTTCTATTGTAAAAATTAATCAACGAATGATACAGTTTCTGGACACTCCATGTTTTAAAGTTTATCATCTTGTTCTTTTTTGGCAGAGCTTGGACTTGTGTTTTGTGTCTTTTATCTTTTTTTAACCACTGTCTGTTCAGTATTTACCTTTGCACCATTTCAAGCTCTTCATTGGACTTGCATGACTTGAATTGCAATAAATAACTGGGAAAATGTGTGTGTTCTAAAACTTTTGACCGGTAGTGTAATTCATTGGTGAAGACATTTTTTTTTTTTTCATTATGGTGCCTATGTTGAAATGTCCAGGTTACAAACACTGAAGGAGGACAGTGACGACGCTCCTGATTTAACCAAAGAGAAAAAGAAAACTGTGGATCAGTAAGACCAGACAAGCTGCTTCTTAAATAGATGCCAAATGAATGGATGAAGTTGCTGTAGATGCTCAAAGGCACTGGGTAGTTTGAGTTGCATTTACGGTTTACTGGAGTAGCTTTGTAGAGCTGAGAGAACTTTGTAAACTCTGAGTAAGTAGAGGTGGGAGATGTATTGAAATTGTGATTTGGAGCTGTGCAAAATTAAAATATATTGAGCATATCCTGTATATCTTTTTAAGGCTTCAAAGGAGATGATTAAAAGTAAAAATGAAAAAAAAAAAAAAGCTGTACAGTGATTTTTGAATTCTTCTAATTTTGCAGTCTATTCACTTTTTGTGCAACACCTCCTCCTGCTTGTTTTCCACGTAAATCTTGTTCCTTTTGCTATAATATTCCACAGTATGGCTTAATACTTTACTTTGTCCATGGAGAATGTTCCACAGTGTGGTTTTAACTTACTATTTCCATGGAATCATGCAGGTGATTTTACTAATCCGTGTATCATTCGTTCATTTGTTTTCCAAAAAAAATAAATAAATAAATAAGAAAACTAAAAAAACAACTATTTTCATCATTATTTGTCTCCAAAACCAAAATGATAAAACAGATAACGATTTGTTTTTTCAGTTTTCGATTTTGTGTTTCAATGAATACTGGAAAAAACGGATAACTGATGTTTCCAGTTTCTGTGACTTAAACTGTGATGCTGGACTGAACCAGAACTGAACCAGGTTCTAAACCAGAACTGAACCAGGACTAAACCAGTTCCCGGTCTCAGTCCTGGTCTGGTCCTGGTCTCAGTCCCAGTTTCAGTCCCAGTCTCAGTCCCAGGCTGGACCCGGTCTCAGTCTCGGTCTGGTCCCGGTCTCAGTCACAGTCTCAGTTCCGGTCTGGTCCCGATCTCAGTCCTGGTCTCAGTCTCGGTCTGGTCCTGGTATTAGTCCCAGTCTCAGTCCTGGTCTTAGTCCTGGTCTCAGTCTTGGTCTGTTCCTGGTATCAGTCCCGGTCTCAGTCCCGATCTCAGTCCTGGTCTCAGTCTCGGTCTGGTCCTGGTATCAGTCCCGGTCTCAGTCCTGGTCTCAGTCCCTATCACCCGACAGTTTACATGGGCGCACCTCCGGGCTCGTCCTGACACTCAGTCCTGGTTCAGTCCTGGTTCAGTCCTGGTTCAGTCCTGGTTCAGTCCTGGTTCAGTCCGTATGCGGCTCAAAAGTCCGGCATCGCAGTTTAAGTCACGGAAACGGGAAACTTCTGTTGTCCATTTTTTCCATTATTCATTTAAACACAAAATCAAAAACTAAAAAAAGAAATCGTTATCCGTTTTTTCATTTTGGTTTTGGAGACAAATAATGAAGAAAATAGTTGTTTTTTTCATTTTCTTATTTTTCTTATTTGTGTTTTATTTTGAAAAACAATTGAACGAATGATACACGGATTTTTACTAATAACATTTGTACTGTTCCTTACCTTCTGAGACTTTGAAGAGAACTTTTTCAGTACATTTCTATAATATGTTCTTTGAAAATACCTGAATTTGAAATCATAAATCTGAGTACTTTAGTGACATGCTTGCAGATTGACAAACACTTTGTATGTGTGGGTAAGTCTACTTGAATATAATTTTGCCCACCTGTAGAAACATGTCTGAACTTGCTTGCTTTGACTATGTGCTTATTTCAATAGTTTGGAGTATAGATAGATTTACTTTTTCCAGCTTAGGCTTCTGCTACTATAACGCATAAGGTTAGTTAATAGCATATTGAATTATAGTTATGTTTGCATCTCCAGTTTTGAACTTCATATATTTGTGTTGCTTTTTCTAAATTTTTCTCTCACTGTATCAGAGCGGCCATTAAAAGGTAGGTTTAGAGAGACAACCTATTTATCACAGTGGACAAATCACAGTCGCTTAATGCTTTACAAAGCAATTCAGAACCACACATAAAGAGTCAAATTACCAATGAAATGCTTGATTAAAGGTGCACTGTGTAAGTTTTCTGGTGGGGGTCAACCTTTTGCTTCATCTTCTTTGAGATGTTATTGCTTTGCCTGGGAAAAAACAAAAATCTAATCATGAAAAACTTGCATTTTTACCTTTAAGTTGACTTGCCTCTCCTGGTCAAAAGTTTTAGAACACCACATTTTTTCCAGGTTTTTACTGTTTACAAGGGATGTAACGATAACCGAAATATCGTGATATCGTATCGTTAAAGTTCTCACAATAATATCGTGGACCATCACAATACATCGAATTACAAGTCTCTTTGTTTAAATTAAGAGTTATGGTGCAGCAATAGTTAAAAAAAAAACAGAGGGAACTACATAGACCATGATCCTTTGCTCCATTTCAGTGCAAACTACAAGAAGAAATAACGGTTCTAAACATTTTTAAGTCTTAGTTCTTTGGATTAAGTCTTGTTAAGGCATTTTAAAAGGAAAAAGTAGCATATTCACAGTTTTGTTCACAGCCTCCACAAAATATCGCAATAAATATCGTACCATGAGATGTATATCGTGAAAATAGCGTACCGACAGATTTGCATATTGTTACATCCCTAATTGTGAGCCTCCCCACCATATCGTGAGCTTTCCCACGATATCACAATAAATATCGTACAGTGAGGTTCATACCGTGACGATATCGTATCGTGAGACTTGGATATCGTTACACCCCTACGGTTTAAGTTTACCATCTTGTTCTTTTTTCCTGAGGTAGTTGTGGCAGAGCTTGGACTTGTGTTTTGTATCTTTTATCTTTTTTTTTTTAACCTCTGGTTGTCCAGTTCTTACCTTTGTACCATTTCAAGCTCTTCATTGGACTTGCACGACTTGAACTGCAATAAATAACTGGAAAAATTAGGGTGTTCTAAAACTTTTGACCAGCAGTGTATCTGACCTATAACTGGGCCTTGCAAAACCATTTGGTTGTCGCCATGGAGATAGATTTTTTAATGCCGTACTGTGCAACATTCAAGACAAAGCAATTTCCTTTTCAAACAAACAGAAGTTGATGGACCCTCCACAAGAAAAGTTACATAAGCACTGTTACCATTTTATATCAGTAAACATAATTTTCTGCATGGACTGTGCTGTTAAATTATTTGAGAAATTGAATGAATGACATTTCTTAAGCATTATTTAAGACATTTTATTGGATGAGGACCATTTCGAAGCAAAAGACAGTTTCTCTATCATGGTTTAATATCAGAGCGAGAAGGAGAAAATATGTGGGGCTAGCAGTTCAAACTCAGATGCGATTATGGTTCAAAATCAATACAAGAGATTTATTTGCTTATTATTTATTTCTTAGTTTTTTCTTATATTAACTATTAAAGAATTCATTATTTTTTCACAGTTCTCTTGTTGACATGTGTCCGGCGGATAGCACCAAAGCCCCAGACCAAAACGTCCAAGCGAACTCTGCAAAAGAAATGACTCCCTCCTCGGCAGAAGTGGAGCTGGTCTCCGAAAACAAAACTGAGGAGGTCAAAGAAGCACAGGCCAAAGAAACAAAACAGCAGGATCCGCCAATCACAGAGCAGAAAAAGCCAGAGCCGCAGCAGTCTGTCACAGAGAAGCAAGAGTCTAAACCAATCACGCAACAGCCCGAGCCACAAGCCACAGAAGCCCCGGCCACCAACGCAGACCAAGTGAGGCCATATTTGAGAATCATTTACTTCTGTACAAATGTATTTCTGTCCGGACTTATCCATGGGTTTCAGGGTCAGGATAAATTAGGACAGTTGCCGTAGTAATTAACAACAATATATATTTTTTTTTATGGCGTCCGGGGCAGGAAAAGGTCATGACTACCCAGGTTCGGTTTTGATTGTAGTGGCCTATATTTTTGTAACCCAATAAGCGTGCAGGTCTTGAGGCAGGTATTAAGCCAAACATTTAATTATTATCACTGCACTTTGAGGTTATGTAGTAATAACTATTCTCTACTGTCCATCGGAGTCCTGCACGGGTCCATTTTTGGAGACCTGCACCACACTCGTGATTATATCAAAGTTCAATCCGTACCTGCCCAGACCCGTTAACATTCCACCCGTTATCCGCCCGTGCCCATGATAAATCGGGGTCAGCCCATTAGTCCGACAGCCCAATAGTCCAGGACTAAAGCAGGACTTAATGAGGACTAAACCAGGTCTGAACCAGGACTGAACCAGGTCTACAGCAGGACTAAACCAGGACTCAATCAGGACTTCACCAGGGCTAAACCAGGACTAAACCAGGACTAAACCAGGACTTCACCAGGACTTCACCAGGGCTAAACCAGGACTAAACCAGGACTAAACCAGGGCTAAACCAGAACTAAACCAGGATTTAACCAGGGCTAAACCAGGACTAAACCAGGACTTAACCAGGACTACACCAGGACTGAACCAGGATTACACCAGGACTGAACCAGGATTACACCAGGACTTAACCAGGACTAAACCAGGACTTAACCAGGGCTAAACCAGGACTAAACCAGGACTAAACAGGTCTAAATCAGGACTAAACCAGGTCTAAACCAGGACTAAACCAGGCCTAAACCGGGTCTAAATCAGGTCTAAACCAGGACTGGACCAGGTTTACACCAGGACTAAACCAGGGCTAAACCAGGACTGAACCAGGACTAAACCAGGTTTAAACCAGGACTAAATCAGGAGCGCAGTCGCTGAGCCGATCATCTCCACTGATGGTTTTATGTAACAAATATATTAAAGTCTCTCTCAGCCTGATCCATCTTTCCGAGAAAAGACCAGGAATGTCACTTGTTTCGGTAACAGCTTTTAAACAAACATCTCGTTTTTTTAATCAGGCTATTCTGGTTGAACTGGTATCGTACTATAAATGTAATAAATGTCCCTTTTTTCAGGCTCCAACTGGAACAACAGAGGAAACTGGATGTGGACGTAAGATTTTCATCATTGTAATATCACGAATAAAAGTTATCGCCACCACAATACAATTTTTATTTCTTGTTTAAATAGAATTTTGAGCTACAGACAGTTTGCTTTTTGCTTTCTTACCACTGCTTTATGAACTAATGCCACTTCACGACCTGCTTTTCTATAATATTTTATTCTCTCCCCAGCCCCCGCTATCTGCTCGCCCTTTCGGACTTTCATGCTTCGTTTCCCAGTGGCCGCTGAATATTTGGAAAACTGCAGGAAGCTGATGCACGACCATTACCTGACCCCCCCTAAGCTGTCCCTGCCCTCCCCCCCGGCTGAACTGGCCCTGCTCACGCAAGAAATAGCAGAACTCCCCAAGCAGGCTCAACAATACTGCATGGGGATTATAAATAAGATAAAAGGGATAAACACGCACTTTCAGACCGCTGCACAGGGTCAGTCAAGTAATCAAAACGGGGAGAATGAACAGTCGCAATCTACACAGCCAACAACGAAACAGCCTTAAATCAACTCACAACTTCAGATACATTTAGCAGTTTTTAGTCAGATGTTTTGTTGAATTTTAGGGTTTACAACTGAAAAAGTGCCAAACATTAAACTACTATTAGTACTACTTCTGCTATTCCTAGGGTTACTACAACAACAACTACTACTGCTATTACTACAACTACCACTACTACTAGTTCTGCTTTTCCAAAGGCCTACTACTGCAACAACTGCTCTTACCACTACCACCACTACTACTACTACTATGTCTGCTCTGTCTTCTATCCTCAGGCGTACTACAACTTCTACAACATTTACTAGTAGTACTTCTAATACTTCACTAGTGCTGCTGCCATCCCTAGTCCTACAACAGCAACTACGACTACTTAATACTGCTATTGCATACTATTTACTACATACTACTTACCAGAGGTGGGGACTTGTAAGTCGTGACTTGGACTTAAGTCAGACTTGAGTCACTATTTTTAGAAATTGAGACTTGGGACTCGACTTGGACTTGAAGGTCATTGACTTGGGAAACATTTTTAAATCTGAATTCTTTCTAGCCTGACCATAATGATTCACACTAAGATCTTGTCAAGACATTTAAAAAGGAAGAATTAACTAAATTAATTTCTACAACTCTTAAATACTTATAAATACTCATATATAAAAAATACAGTGATTTTCTAAATACAATTTGCTTTAAAATTCATATAAATTGCAAAAATCTAATCTACATTTGGTACTTTGGTTTATAGACTTGAAATGACTTGAAGCTCAAAGCAGACAACTTGGACTTGACTTGGACTTGTGGGCCAGTATCTCGAGACTCGACTTGGACTTGCCTGTGTTGACTTGGGACTTTAGGAGAAAGACTTGAAGTCAAAGACTTGAGACTTGCAAAACAAAGACTTGGTCCCAACTCTGTCACTTACTACTACTACAACTACTACTATTCCTAGGCCTACTACTACAACAAATACTTTTACCACTACCACTGCTACTGCTACTATGTCTGCTCTGTCTGCTAATACATACTACTTACTACTGCTACAACTACATCTACTGCTATGCCTAAGCCTACTACTACAATGACTACTGTTGTCACTTACTGTTACCACTACTATTAGCACCACTACTACTACTACTACTACTACTACTACTACTACTACAATACTTCCCAAGGTGCTCCCCTCTCCAAACCCCTCTGCATCCTGGTCAGCACTGCTCCCATCATGCATTGCTTCATCAAGAGACTGCTCCCCACGGCTCAGGTGATCCATAGGTGTAGTGTCTAAGCGTATGTGCTGTGTAGTGCTTTGCTGTGCTTTTGAAGGATGGAAATCCAACTTCAGTGCGTTACTGTAATATTCACTGTTGTGTTTTTGTGTTGCCTTTTTCTAACAATATTCAGCCCAATCCAATCCTCTTTATTTATATCGCACATTTCACAAACAAACAGTTTCCAAAGTGCAGCACAAATACATACTAATAACAACAATAATAATATAATGATAAAAAATACGCTCAGATTTAATCATACTAGTCCTAGAACAATAAAATCAGAAAAATAAAATACAAGCAAAACCATAGAATAGCAATAAATTATTAAACCAATTTAACATAAATTAAAGATACGGAGGATCACACAACTCATGCAGTGTTAAAGGCTGGAGAGTAAAAGTATGTTTTAAGAGATTTAAAGCTCTCCATTGTTCCAGAGTTTTCCAGAGCTTAGGCCTTTCAACAGAAAAGGCCCTACCCCCCCTGGTTTTTATTCAGGTGCATGATCTAGTGAAATTTTGATCCAAATCTTAAAAACTATATTTTTAGCACCGATTTATTGGAATAATTACAATTACAGCTGATTTCATTTCAGCATTGAACCATCACAGAAAATAATCATTGTACATTTTTATGACTTGGTGCTAATTTTGACAAAAAATTAAAATGAAAAAGTACTACAGAATTAAAGTACTAACTGACATGCACCATCAGTATTAAATAAATATACCTACATTGCAACTCTAAATATAAATAATAAAAAGATTCTACACTACAACAAAATAATTACCGTAATTTTGTTGCTTTCTCAGGGAGTCAAGTGAAAACCCCGGTTCTGAAGGTGGACCACGTGGATCAGGACTCAGGTCAAAGAAGGACTCTGAACATCCCTCAGATCGTGACCACGCCAGAACATGAGACCTACACTTTGACTGTGCCCAAAACTATTAGAATCAGGTACAATATGCACATAGGGCTTTCATATACACTGACCAAATAAGTTAACATAGATAATCCATTTGCATAACTTATCAGAAGTTGGAGCAAAATCAATTTTTAAGACTGAAGTTCAAAAGGTTGACCATATTAATTTGGCTTGTTAAGGAGAACTCTTTTACCTGAGTGACCATTTTCAAAAATATTTGTACAAGCGCCCAAGTTAAAACTCAATTAACACGTAGTAATATAGAAGTTACAATATACACATATAATACATACATTATACAACTATAAACATATAAAATATCATGCAGTCTAAACCTGTTTTCTCCTTTCAGTCCAACAGGTGAACAGATGTTGTGTGAAGAAGAGGATGAACCTTTGAAGTCGTGGGGCAGTCAGGGGGACCTCCTCAGTGCAGATGAAGAGTAAGGATCCATCAGTCATTTATTACTTTAATCTTAACTCCACTTTTACCTTTTTAAATTTCTTGATTGTACATTATCAAAAATGATTAGATAAAATGCACTCAGCCTCCTGTTCTCCTGTAGGGCGCGCCCTGCCTCTGCGGCCAGCGTGGGCAGTGTGGTGATGCAGGAGCGTCTGAACAAGCTGCTGCGACATTTCAAAGGTCGAACGGAGTCAAAGAAAGAAAAACTGTTGGATCCGGACGAGTCGGAGGGGGAGAGTCCACAGGCCTGTGAGTGGAAACTACAGCAGACCCATATCTTTAAAGTCACAAACCTTTACGACCCAAGTCAATAGACATTATTCATGAATCACATCACAAAATAAATTTGGATTTGACCATTATTGAACATTATTACTCAAGTTTAAACAATGAAAAACAGTAAGTGAAGCAGCAATAAAAGGATCCATAAGTCATCGATTTGGACATTAAATGTAGCCCATTTCATTTTCTTTTCAGCATTCAATTGAACCAGCAATATGGGAACAAAATAGACAATAAAATAATTACATAAAGATTAGAAATGATAAAAAACATGTCTTAACATTTCAACATTTCTAATTTCAACATTTTCAGGTGCTTTGTCTTCATTTTTGTGAGTACAGATGTGTCATGTGTCAGAACTGTATATTGCAGACCTACATGCAGATCATCACAAGGCGGCCCCAAAAAAAATCTCTTTTGACCTAGTCTTTGGGAAACAATGAACTACAGGATATACTGTATGTATGCTAAAGCAAGAAAACAATACGGTTTTAGATAAAGGGATGGAAATGAAACTGGTACTTGAAACTGTAGAGACTTGGAGATTTAAATAAAAAGTTAAGCTATTTAACCAATACATAGAAAGACATTCATCCTTACATTTATTTTTTTTTAAATTGCTGATACTTGATTTTTATTGCTGTGATTTGTCTCCTTTAGCTCCTGCCAAAGCCCCTCCCCCTCCACCCCCACCCCCACCCCCAGGAGGTGAGGAGAAGAAGGATGCGCCCCCTGCTGGTGAAGAGGAGGAAGAGGAGAAGGACAAATGGATGGAGTTTGAGTTTGAACTTTTAGGGCAACCTCTAAAACTGCCCTTCCCCAAACCTCCACCGATGCCCGACTGGCTCAGAGCTATTCTCCAGTACCGCTTCCCCGACAGCATCGACCCTTTCACTGGTACGACAGGGCTCCTCACTGACAGATGTTTTTACAATCTGGAGTGTAATTTTAAATTTTTTTTTTTTTATAAACACAAGTTAGTGTAGGGAAGTAGGCGAGCACGGGAGGTAGGTGTAAACAGAGACTTTTTTGAGCAGTCAAGCTCCAGATGCAGAACAATAGATGCAGGAACCAAGTATGTGCAATTAATCGAATTTTGATCGCGATTTCAATTTGTCTCCAAAATCATATAATCAAGTTGAAACGATTTAAAGCTTAACAGTTTATTTTGGGATATTTTTTTATATAAATAAGTATATTTATTTTATTTTTAAATACAGAGATTGTAGAACAGCTGGATATATAGTTTATTTTGGATACATTTATATTTTTTATGCCTTATTTCATGTTCAAAGTATATTTTATTCATTTTAAGTTTTATACATCACAAAACTGCTCTAAGGTACAATTTGTTAGCCTGATTCATCAGATGGTTTCACTTCATGGAAACCGTCTGACCTCGCAGCATTAGGGTTAGTTCACTCGACAGTAGGCGTGTACCTTTTTTTATTTAACCAATCACTGTTATTTGGTCGTGACGTATGTAATGCGCCGCTAACTGGTATATTAAGCTTTTCCCAAATCCCGTAGGAAGATGGACAATAATGTCTTTCCCCTTGATAAAATTCACCAAACATCCTGTTTGTTCTGGATTTAAATTCTCGATCTCAGGAATCGTTGCCAACACAGAATGTATGACTCCTTGCTGATTGGCTGGTGCCCGAACTTGGACTTCCGGGGTTTTTGCGAACCGTCTAGAGTATTCAGATTCCTGATCTAGTCACTGGAGAGAAATGAAATTGAGTGGAGGCATTAGGTGGCGCAAGCCTGACTACTGATAGCTTATATCTATTTCAATTTGAAAGCTTTGCATAAATTATCAAATAACAAAGTGTTTTTTGTTTTTTTTTTGAGATAGAGAGAAATGCTGAATAAATGCATCGAGTAACTAAAAAGTAATCGTTTGAATAATCATCATTTCAGTATTGACCAAAATAATCGTGATAATGATTCTTTCCATAATCATAATTTTGCATAGTCGTATGGAGCCTGCACTTTTAAATTTTTTATAAAGTAACTGCAATCACAACAGGGCCTGTGTTGCCAGCAAATAGAGGACACATGTTTTTCTCCTTTTTATTACATGGACACAGGACAGGCCTCATGTGAAAGCTCAGAACCTCCAGAATTCACTCACTGAGCTGCAGAGGCTGCACTGGCACTGATTCATGATTGGCTGTGCAAGTGCTGGGGTTAAAATACTGACCCAAAATTAGATGCCAGTCATGTTGGATAATCGTCTTGAAAACCAAAACACCAAATAATAACATAAACAGCTTGTCCATCATGTCCAGTGTTTTTGTTGTGTGGAATAAATCAGCAATTGTTACCAGAGCTACGTTTGATTTGAACATGTCTACCTCATATTTTGGACACTGTTAGTTCTTACATATAGTCTTTAATACTCCTTTCCCTCTGTTGCCTTCAGACCTGATCTATGTGTTCTGGCTCTTCCTGGTGGTGGCTGCGTGGAACTGGAACGTGTGGCTGATCCCGGTGCGATGGGCTTTTCCGTATCAGACTCCGGAGAACATCCACCTGTGGCTCCTGGTGGATTACAGCTGCGACCTGATCTACATCCTGGACATCCTGGTGTTCCAGCCCAGACTGCAGTTTGTGAGGGCCGGGGACATCGTGGTCAGTCAGTCACTCTACACGCACAATGTCAAGTTAAAACTGTTTAATAGTACGACTGTAAATAAACATGTCGTTCTTATCGCGTTACAGTGTGATAAGAAGGACATGAGAGACCACTACATGACCACAGAGAGGTTCAAGGTAAAGTTACAGCATGATTTACATTTTTATGGTAAAACGTTTCTGTAAAAAAGTTTTGAAAAAGTCTCAAGCCTCTATGCCAGGGGTCTCCAACCTTTTTTCTTTGTGAACTACCTTAATGAAATGAAAATGTCAGAGAGCTACTACTTTTAGCAGCCGCAAGAAACTGAGAAAGTATAAGAGCCATGACAAGCCTAAGACAGGATACAGTTGGATGCCTATTAAACATAAAACATTAACCATTTATTAGTGTAGAAGTTAGGCATCAAAATGACACATTTACAATGGTAATTAATCAGATTTTGGTTATTAAGTATGTTACATGTAATTTAGAAATCCAAAGATGAGCTACTTGGAAGGGGGTGGAGAGCTCCTGGTAGGTCCCTAGTCACAGGTTGGAGACCTCTGCTCTATGCAATACTGTAACTATAAAACATGAAAGACTGTTACTAATTGATAATTCAAGTCACAGGTGTCTAACTCAAATTCACAGAGGGCCAAAATTAAAAACTGGGACTAATTCATAGGCCAAACTAAATATTTATTGAAACATTTCAACAACATGTACATGTTTTCTCTTCTTTCAAGATATATAATGTTAAACCTTTTCATATTAATATAAATGTTTATAATAATTTTGCTTAAACACTGAATCCAGAGCAAGCCTTATATAAAATAATAACAAAATTTTAAATAAATAATGCCTCTATAGTCTATCTGTAGCTGGTGGGCAGCTCTAATATATATTTGATATGATCTCACGAGCTAAATATAATTATATCACAGGCCAAATTTGGCCCCCGGGCCTGAGTTTGACATGTCTGGTTTAAATAGTCAGTGATTAATTTAATGACATATTGTTATCTGGGCTATAAACGTTATCAAACAGATTCCATGTTAATATCATTAAATTTTTAATATTCATTTCTATATAAGCACTTGTCCACCTTCAAAACACTCAAAGCACTTTATATCTAAGACCCACTCACCCATTCACATACCAGTGTACACAGACACTGTGAATAGTTAAAACTGTCCACAAAATCCAAGATGGCACAATTTAGATAGATAATTTAAATAATTAGATAATTTAAATATAATAGATAAGATAATTAGATATAGATAATTTAAATAATTGTCTGACATGTAAGCTTATTGTAAATTCAGTTCTGTTTGACATTTTGTTTTGTTTGTTTTTTCAGATGGATGTAATAAGTTTGTTTCCAATGGAGGTATTTTATTACTTCACTGGAGTCAACTCTCTGCTGCGCTTCCCTCGACTGCTCAAGGTCAGTACTTATACACCAGGGGTCTCCAAACTGTGGCTCAGGAGCTTCCAGTAGCACTCACTCCATTCCATGTAGCTCGCCAAAGGATTTCTGAATTATGTGTATGGCCCTTAATAACTAAAATCTGATTAATACCATTGTAAATGTGTCATTTTGATGCCTAACATGTGCACTAATAAATGGATAATGATTTATAGTTTTATAGGCATCTTAACAGTGTACAGTCTAAAGCTTGCCATGGCTCTACTCTACTCTACTTTCTCAATTTCTTGCGACCGCTAAAATGAGTAGCTTCTCTAACATTTTCATTTCATAAAGGTAGCTCACCAGAGTAAAAAAATCTGGAGACCTCTGTTATAGACCAATATCACTGACAGTCAGAGAGATCTTTTCTGTGTCATCTGCTCATTGTGTTATTTGTATTTCAGTACATGGTTTTCAGTGAGTTCAACGACAGAATGGAGGCTGTGATGAAAAAGGCCTACATCTACAGGTAAATTAGCCCCAAATTATAGAGGATCCTAGTACTGTTTTTCTTATTGAACACTTCTCTAGAACCAAGCGCAAAATTACAACAAAAACAAGTCAACCATCATGTCATCAAGCCTGTAAATCTTAAAATTAAAACATGTTTACCTGCATCTAGGGACACAGAGAGATCATATTTATATATATATATATATATTTTTATACAATTCTTTCTCCCTTTAAGTCGTATATCTTTATTTTCAGAGTGATCCGGACCTCGTCGTACCTGCTGTATTCTTTGCACATAAACGCCTGTCTGTTTTACTGGGGCTCTGACTACGAAGGACTGGGATCCACAAAATGGGTCTATGATGGAAAAGGAAATGCGTAAGTCTCATTTATTATGTTATGTTTTGTCAGTTTTGAAGCTTATTTATAATGTCTCAAATTACTGTCTTTAAAATGAAATAAAAAATAAACGCTTAGTCTCCTGCGACATGCATATTCATGGTTTTATAATGATTATCACATTGTAACATCTGTTTTGTAATGGCTGTAAACTGCAGTAAAGCAAATTAATTAACTAAAAATCCCGCTGTATTGTTATAATTATGTTTTTCTTCATCTGTTTATTAGAACTGCAATAATTGTAGTAATATATTTTTCTCTTATCCTTAATTTTAAATGTGCGTTTTGTAACTTTTTGGGTGGAGAGTTCATCAAATTCTCGTCAAATGCTTTTCTATATGGAGATGTTATTGCTTTGGAATGTTTCACAGTACGGCATTAAACCGTTTTATCTTTATAGAGACCAAATCAGACCAAGTTACTGGTCAGATCTGTGGAGAGGCAACCCCACTCACAATGCCTGTTTTTCTATGTATTTTTGAGCTATAAAACCAATAATTTTAATTGAATAGTTGTAAGGTAGAGCTGTTTAATGTCATACTGTGGAACATTCTAGGCAGAGCAATGACATCTCCATAGAAACAAGCAGGTGACGGCCATCTAACCAAAAAGTTACACAGTGCACCTTTAATGCCATAATCATGATTCATATTTTTTGTATGTTTTTTTAGGTACATTCGTTGTTATTACTTCGCTGTGAAGACCTTGATCACCATCGGAGGCCTCCCGGACCCTACCACCGTGTTTGAGATCTGCTTTCAGCTCCTAAACTACTTTGTGGGCGTCTTTGCGTTCTCCATCATGATCGGACAGGTCAGTAACTCAATAACACGAGGGTTAAATCACATTAGACATCTGCGTATGATCTCTGCACGACCCAAATAAGAAAGTTACCTCTAATTTTACTTTAATTTGATACACCACGTTTGGTCCACTATAGATATACACTGATTTTAGGTCAACCTTCTATAAAGCACATTTAAAACGACTAAAAGCTACCAAAAATACTGTATAACAATCAAATTAATAGCAAAATAGAACAAAATGGCGCATAATGTAAGTAAATAGCTTGGGATGTAAAGATATCCAACTCTCTCTGTACAATATTATCACGATATGCATCTCACGATACGATATTTATTGCAATATTTTGGAGAAGCTGATATAATTGTAGATAGGACACTTTTTGGCTTTTGAAATACCATGACAAGATTTTGGTGTGAATTATTTCTGTCATAATCCCAAGAATTCAAGTAAAAACATATTTCTTTATGTTGTTTGCACTGAAATGAATCATGGGATATGTAGTTCCCGATGTTTATTAGCTGTTGCTACTATAAAACCATGCATTTAAGGGTAATTTAACCTCAGTTCACCCCAGAAAATTGCAATTTGAACCCTCACATTCTCCAATTGCAAAGAAAATTGGCGTATGAAAGCCAAAATCTCAAATTGTAGCACGATCGGACCAATGGTTGCTGAGGTATTGCAATTTCATTTTTTCACTTTTTTGCATGGTTGCCGAATTTTAAATTGCATTTACTCAGCAACTACTGGTCCAATATTTAAAAAATCAAGGTATTTCTGGAAAGGGGAAATCATAAGAAATCCAAATCTGGCATTTTTGCATTTTAGTACTTTTGAGATCAATTACACGCTCAACCTCAATGACACCAATAGAAAAAATGTAGCCCTATATGTCTACAACAACATATACAAAATCTGGAGGGGTTTTCATTTTTATTTTCACACAGATTTACCTAGACGTTGACTAACCCCCATCTTAAGACAATATTTGCATTCCTTATGATTTCCCCTTTCCAGAGATACCTTCATTTTTGATATTGAACCAGTAGTTGCTGAGTAAATCCAATTTGAAATTCAGTGACCACGCAAAAAAGTGAAATAATGAAATTGCAATATCTCGCAAACCGTTGGTCCGATCAAACTAAAACTTTAAATTTTGGCTTTTAATTTACCTATATATAAAGTTTCATCAAAATTTGGCAAAGTAGGGTTTAACTCATTGGGTGAACTAAGGTGGGCTAACCCTTAAGCAAAGGAACTTGTAATTCGATATACTGTGACAGCCCATGGTATTATTGCAAGACTTATGACACTACAATATCACGATATTTTGGTTATTGTTACATCCCTATAAATAGCCAAAAATGTTAATCAGTCTGCGTTCACTCTTGTTCTGATTTGGTCCTTGTTTGAGCCCGGTTTGGTCATTTTCTACTTCTGGTTTAGTCTTGGTTAAATCTGGTTTAGTTCCGAGATTAGATTCTGCACTCTAATTAAGAAAGTTTTAATTTCAGTCTAATTTGATTTCAGTTTTATACATTATGTTTGGCCCACTGTACTAAGATTCAGGGTAAAAATACAGATATGCATTTATATTCCTACTCAAAAATAAATATGCTTTATAGGTCAGATTAATTATATTTATTGAAAAATATCACCACAACTTGAACCTTGGACTGGAATACTAATAGAGCTCTGAAGGGAAAGTGACTTAGAGGGTTTTCAGAGCAACAAAAATGAAACTAAAACTCATAAAACACTGTTAATACGTTGTTTTCAGTGAATAAAGCATTTTAAAAACAATAAAAGGTAACATGGTAGTATGTTTTCTTGTAAAGACATATGTAACAAGTTTTAAATGTAATCAGTCTTGTCCAATCTAAGATGAAAATTGTTCTTTTTGTGTTCCAGATGAGAGACGTGGTTGGAGCTGCGACTGCAGGAGAAAACTATTACCGCGCGTGTATGGACAGCACCATCAAATACATGACCACCTACCACATCCCCCGAGACGTGCAGAACCGCATCAAGACCTGGTACGACTACACCTGGATGAGCCAGGGCATGCTGGGTAAGGAACCAGAGAAGTTAAGAGTCGTTTTTATTTTATTAGTGATCAACTTTGGTTTAACAAGGGGGTATTAATCAAAATTGACTTTTTGGAGCTGCCATGTTATAGTGTTGTTCCTTCATCAAATACATTAGTTTTTTTTATGTCATCCATGCATTTTTGAGTAATCTAGCGATCTCTCCCAGCCTTATTTGAACCCTTCTTATGGTTAGTTTTAAAATTCTGTCCACAAGTTTATGTCATCCATGCTCCCAAACAGGATTTTCCATAAATATACAAAAGCAGGAAGCAAAACAATACACTACAACTCCACAAACCTGGTGTGATGTGCAGTTACACTAGTTTCATTTGCAAAAATCCTGCTCAGTTTTTAAGTCCATAAATCAATGCTGTCAAATTGCATTCATTTCAAACTGTAAAAAGTGTGTAATATTGTTGAATATTGTGTACATTGTATTGATTATTGCTGTTTTACCATGCACCATGTATTGTGCATCACAGAGATGTAAAATTGATCATACAAGATATATAAAAATATATCTCATCAAATTGTGAATTTTGTTTTCAGATGAGCAGGAATTGTTGATCCAGCTTCCAGAGAAAATGAGAATGGACATCGCGGTGGACGTCAACTACAACATCGTCAGTAAAGTCGCTTTGTTTCAGGTCAGTGAGAAAACTTTGTAAGACTTTATAAATATACAAATACAAAATAAGTCAAAAGTTTTAAAACTACTGTCTGTAACACAACCTAATAGCAACTTAAGTACTTAATTGTAGTTTAGTTTATTTTTTTTTAATAGAACAGCATGTTTTAACTATAAGGGGTTTGGCAAAAATGCAAAACCTGCAACTTTTGTGGCGGAGGGTCCTCTAATTTATAAAAAATAAACAAGCAGCAGAAAAGTAGGCAAGCAGAATAGTTGCTCAGTGCATCTTTAAAAAACATCTACCATCACAGTAAAAAAAAATATATATATATAATAAATCAACTAAACCCCAGTTAAAATATAATAAACTTACAATTTTACTTCAGTACACTACAGCAGATGAACTGATTTGAGAAGTTTGAACAGCAGGGAGTCCATTTTGTATTGACCTAGTTCTTAAATACTTATGTTATTTACAGCGCTAATAGGTGGAGTATATAGAAGAGGTCTTATGATGACCCAGAACACGCTAACCTCATGACATTATAATGCCCCTGTCAAAACAAACATGCACTCTACTGCGATAAACGATAATATTGAAATTATTTTATGCTACTGACACACTGACAATAATGCAAGATAATTCTAAATAGACAGTATTATTAAAAGACAAGTTACATTTTCCACCCTCTACAGCTCAAATTTTTTCTCATTACAACAAAAATAACTAAAATCTCCCAAAATATATTGTGCCAGCTTTCATGTATGGAATGATAAGTCAATATATAGTAATTATTGTGACAGGAATATGAGACATAACCGCATGTTTGGGTTTAATATGAATGAGGTGACGTGGACCAGCTGTAATTCAGTGTATCCAAAGATATCAATTTGGTCTTATTTTTTTCTAAAAACAAAACTATTTATAATCCGGTGAGTTTGCATTCAGTTTGTATCATGTCTGTTCATTGATTCTTAACCCCAAAGTATGGCCTCGAGGACTCACCTGAGGGCAGTGAAATCAGCAAAGTATAATACATTAAATGGGAGATTGGGCCTCAAGGTCAAAAAGAAGAATCCTTATTTACAGGCATTGTCAAAATCAAATGTTTGTTTTTGTATCAGGGCTGTGACCAACAGATGGTGTTTGACATGCTCACCCGCCTCAAGTCTGTGGTCTACCTGCCTGGAGACTTTGTGTGTAAAAAGGTAAACATTATTTGGTAATTTTCCATTGTAAACATGCACTATGAAACTTGTTATTGCTTTGCCTGTTTTGCATTTATTCAACCGTTGGTGCTTTTATTGCTAAAAAATCTATTGAAAAACATATATTTATGCTGTGAGTCGGCTTGCATCTCCACAGTTCTAGTCTGTAACTTGACATGATGGAATTTACAAATAATATGGGTTATAGGTGTTTAGTCAGGACTAAAGTCAACATTTCAGGTTCATGCAGCTAAAACCTGGAACAGTCTTCCTGAAGATGTGAGACAGGCCTCTACTTTGACTCTGTTTAAATCCAGGCTCAAAACGGTTTTGTTTACCTGCATATGACTGAAAGGTTTTGATTTTTCAGTCCGCACTTCTCTCTCTCATTTAATGTTTCTCTTATTTATGTTTTGATTTGTTTGTATTGTTATTTTAATGTATTTCTTATTCTGTAAAGGCACTTTGAATTATTTTGTGTACAAATTGTGCTATACAAATAAACTTGCCTTGCCTTGCGTTACATTAAATAGCTGAAGAGTGCGATAATCATAACTTTCCATGCGACCATTGCTTTTACTGAGGATAATGTATAAGAAACATGTTAGTAAATAGACAAAATGTATTTGATTATGCCTAAATCTTGTCTTGAAATCCAGTTATTGTGTTTTATTTTGTCTTTATGGCAGACATGTCAAACTCGGGCCCAGGAGCCAAATTTGGCCCACGATATAATTATATTTGGCTTGCGAAATAATCTCAAATATGTATTGGAGCTGCCCGCCAGCTACAGATAGGCTGTAGAGACATTGTTTATTTAAAATTTTGTTAGTATTTTATATTATGCTTGTTCTGGATTCAGTGTTTAAGCAAAAGTATTATTAAACATTTACTTTAAAAGGAAAGTTTTAATATTACATATCTCAAAAGAAGAGAAAAAATGCAGATGTTGTTGAAATTTTTCAATAAATATTTAGTTTGGCCTACGACTTAGTCCCAGTTTTTAATTTTGGCCCTTTGTGAATTTGAGTTTGACACCTCTGCCTTAGGTTATATTAAATAGCTGAGGAGTGCGATAATAATAACTTTCCATGGGATTACTGCTTTTACTGAGAATAATACATAAGAAATGTATTCGTAAATAGACAAAATGTATTTGATTATGCCTAAATCTTGTTTTGTAAGTCCAGTTATTGTGTTATGTTTTGTCTTGTGGGATTTATGGTTTGTATCTGTCTCTGTGACTTGTAATATACTACATGTTGTTTATTTTTCAGGGTGAGATCGGTCGGGAGATGTACATCATAAAGCAGGGCGAGGTGCAGGTGGTGGGTGGTCCCGACTTGAACACAGTGTTTGTGACGATACGAGCTGGCTCTGTGTTCGGGGAGATCAGGTCAGACTGGACTCATCCACTTAAACTATTACCGCTGACACAGCCACAATTCACACTTTAAGACTCCAGGGCCTCTGCAGTGAGCCTGGATTACACAGAGATAACCCAGGAATTTAAGGGTTAACTCTGGGTTTCTTATCTACAAAGTAAGATAACAGTAATTTGCAACCAAACAATTATTGAAACCATCATCAAGTATTCAAGTGTTCAATAGTTTGTGTTTGTGTTTGCTCGTGTGTGCATACATGTAGAACCAGTGGTGTAGTGGGGATTTTTTAAGTGGGAGTACGTGATTTGTGACTACAACACATGAATCAGGACTAAACCAGGGCTGAACCAGGACTAAAACAGGACTGAAAGAGGTTTAAAACAGGACTTAAACAGGACCGAACCAGGACTAAAACAGGACTAAAATAGGACTAAAACAGGACTAAAATAGGACTGAAACAGGACTGAAATAGGTCTAAAACAGGACAAAAATAGGACTAAAACAGGACTAAAACAGGACTGAACCGGGACGGAACCAGGACAAGAACAGGACTGAACCAGGACTAAAACAGAACTAAAACAGGACTGAACCAGGACTAAAACAGGACTGAACCAGGACTAAAACAGGACTGAACCAAGACTAAAACAGGACTAAAATAGGACTAAAACAGGACTGAACCAGGACTGAACCAGGACAAGAAGAGGACTGAACCAGGAGTAAAACAGGACTAAAACAGGACTGAACCAGGACTAAAACATGACTAAAACAGGACTGAACCAGGACTAAAACAGAACTAAAACAGGACTGAACCAGGACTAAAACATGACTAAAACATGACTAAAACAGGACTGAAACAGGACTTAAACAGGACTGAACCACAACTGAAACAGGACTGAACCAGGACTGAACCAGGACTGAACCAGGACTAAAACAGGACTAAAACAGGACTGAACCAGGACTGAACCAGGACTAAAACAGGACTGAACCAGGACTAAAACAGAACTAAAACAGGACTGAACCAGGACTAAACAGGACTGAACCAGGACTAAAACAGGACTGAACCAGGACTAAAACAGAACTAAAACAGGACTGAACCAGGACTAAAACAGGACTGAACCAGGACTAAAACATGACTAAAACAGGACTGAAACAGGACTTAAACAGGACTGAACCACAACTGAAACAGGACTGAACCAGGACTGAACCAGGACTAAAACAGGACTAAAACAGGACTGAACCAGGACTGAACCAGGACTAAAACAGGACTAAACCAGGTTTAAACCAGGACTAATCTTGGATTTGAGAGTGAGAGACCTCGTAGAGCAGGGTGTCCACAAAGTGCGATCGGGCGACGGCCAAGCTGATGTTTCTGTGCTTCATCTGAGCATGTTGTGTCTGACCTTCCTCTTCTCTGATTGGTCAGTTTGCTCGCTGGGGGCGGGGGAAACAGACGGACAGCCAATGTGAAGGCTCACGGTTTTGCGAACCTCATGATCCTGGACAAGAAGGACCTGGCTGAGATCCTGGTGCACTACCCCGAGTCCCAGAAACTGCTCCGGAAGAAAGCCAAGTAAGTCCCGCCCACTCAGACAGAAGCCACACCCACTAATGTTAAATTATTTTGGCCACAATTTTTATTTTATTTTTTTTCCAATTATTCACTGTTAAAACACAAATAGAGCTTGGATACTAGTTATTTACATTTCATGCAAATCAAAGTTCAAACCTGTTTCATGTGAAGCTACTTTGATTAATTTTGCATGCATTACAATAGGAAAATCGTCTTTGGTGTTACTTGGTGTGAAAGTTTTGAGAGCCACTGACATAAAGTATTTCTCTTTAAAAAGAATAGTTTGTGTCTTTTTAACACATAATAATAATCAAATATATTGTCTAGTTACACATACTGTATTTTTCTGACTATAAGTCGCATCAGCCAAAAAATGCGTAATGAGGAAGACTATAAGTCGGACTCTTTTGGGGAATTTATTTTATAAATTCAGAGAACAGGAACCAACATTTCATCTTGAAATGCAAGTTATAGAAATAACAATAGAACAGAGAACGACAGACTGTTAACGTCACATATGAACAGTTCTTCAGATAAACTATAACATAAACAACAGAACAGAACAAGTTTACCAAACTCTCCTTCTCACTCCAAATCACTAAATCCATTCAATTCTTCATCCTCGGTGTCACTTCTAAGCAACTCCACGACCTCCGGAGGTAAATGGAGCGCCACTTCCTCTTCTGCGTAGTTGTCGTCAGACTCAGCATCAGTTTCCAAAGTGCTTCACATAACAATGTAAAACTATTTATGTAAAAAAAAAAAAAATCAGCAAAATTATGTTTTAACCATGTATAAATAAAGTGGATTTGGATTTGAATGTTGTACCCAGAAATAAGAAAATATTGTAAAAATGTCTAAACAAATAAAGTAATAAAAAAGTGTAGTTTTACATAGAGTATCCAGGCAGTGTCCACAGTGTTCACCTTGGTGCTGATCTCTCCTCTGGCCCGGTGGGATTAGAGCCTCTGTGGTCTTAATCTGATCAGGTCCCAGGACAGTGACTCAGGAGGCCAGTCTGCTTGAGCTCCTTCAGCTTCTGTAAGAACAGCGTGTATGTTAACAGGGTCCTATGGCTGCTATGTGATGTCGCCTTTAAACGGGCATGTGTTTCGCATTGGTGGAATCGTAGCGTAAGGTTAGTAACTGCATTTCTGATTCTCAATGTGTGGTTTAAGTTTGTTTCATGTACTTGTTTGGATGTCTATCTGCAAAATTAGTGGGACAAGTTGTGTGGTTTGGTGTTACAGAGTTGACGAAAACTTTGATCATTTCATTTAAATTTCTCTTGGCATTTCATGGTGACTAATAGATGTTACACTCTACACTTTAATGCTTTTATAGAACTTTAAAACTGAAGTATCTTTATTAATAAGAGTGAGGAGTGCTTGTTATTGCTGACACTTTACCCTCATTTGATTTTTTTTTTTTTGTTCTATAGTGCTTCAAAAGTTCTGTATTGGTTTTTCCCTGCTAGTCTAGTCTGATCTAATAATTTACGTTAAGGGATATTAATGAAAAACACTCGGAAAATACGGAAATTTAGTGGAACCATATTGCCATTTAAGTCCTCTGCATCCCTCTGAAACATATGGCAGCACTGAAAGCTGTAGGATAAACATAACCCTATAGTAATTAGGCCAATAGGAGTCACGTCACTTAACTTAATTAAAAAGAAAGTTTCTTCATAGACACGCACTTACAGTGGTCGGACATGTTTGTTTTGTTTTAAAGTAGCAACTAAAAACCAAATGTAGAAATATTAGGCATTTTTAGTATCGTATTTCTTGTTATTACCAAATTAAAAGCAACATTGCATAACTTTCTAAAGGTGGCACATGGAAATGGAAAGTTGAAACGATACTTTGGTACATTCTTCATGGGGATAAGTAGAGGTTTTATGCTATATTGTGGAATATCATTAGTCTGATTCATCAGCCGGTTTCACTTCGTTGAAACCATCTGACCTCGCAGTGTTAGGAATTCGTTCGCTCGACAGTAGGCAGGTACTTTTTATCATTTAACCAACTGCTGCTATTTGATCGTGACGGGGCTAACTGGAACGTTACCGTATTTTCCGCACTACCAGGCGCTCTGGATTATTAGGCGCACTGTCATTAAATGGTCTATTTTCGAACTTTTTTCAAATATAAATCACACCGGACTTTAAACGAAATAAAACAGTTGGATGGGTCAGTGGGACTTTGTTTGGCACGTTCACGGTGACTCTGGGCTTTGTTCAGTTGTGGCGTGTAGGGAGGGTGCTGGATTGTTGCCATTTTCGCAGTGACTCAGTTGTTCAGTTGTGTCTAGAAGTGGCACATTGCACTCGCTTTTTCTGTTCGTTCCTCCGTTGAATTCCTCGTGTTCCTCCGTGTGTGTTTGCGTGCACTGTGGGCAGGTGCGGCTTTGTAGTTTACTGAAGTCGTGCTGGGACACCCGAGTGGATTTGTGTATAGGGCGCTCTGGATTGTGGGGCGTGCAGTCGTTTTTTGAAGGGGTTGGAGGCTTATGAGTGCACCCTATAGTGCGGAAAATACGGTAAGCTTTTCCCAAATCCCTTAGGAAGAAGAACAATAACGTCTTTCCCCTTGATGAAATTCACCAAATATTCTCTTCATTCCAGCTTTAAATCCTCAATCTCAGGAATCGTTGACAACACTGAATCTATGGCTCTTCATTGATTGGCTGGTGCCCGAACTCGCACTTCCGGGGTTTTTGCGAACCATCTAGTGTATTTTGATTCCTGACCTAGTTGCTGGAGAGAAATTAAATTGAGCGGAGGCATTAGATGGCTAGAATATCATAGCCAAAGGAACAACATTCCCATGGAAAAAAGCAAGTTGAGGTCCTCCTTCAGGTCAAATAAAAGTCAAGTTTATCCATCCATGATCCATGCTCTCTCAGATTAATGACGCATGTTTTTCTCTGTTAAGTGTAAATAACGCAATTAAAATAAACATAAAAGCTTTTATTTTGTGGTTTTTGGTTAAATAGTTACACAGTTGAGGCTTTAAATTCTTATTTTTTTAATAAACAACTGTACTCAGTAGGGATGTAATGATATTTTCACGATATACATCTCACGGTACGATATTGCGGTATTTTGTGGAGGCGAATAAAACTGTGAATATGCTACTTTTTCCTCTTAAAATGCCTTGACAAAACATAATGCTAAGATTTAAAAGTGCTTAGAACTGCTATTTCTTTATGTAGTTTGCACCAAAACGGAGCAAAGGATCATGGTCGATGTAGTTTCTTCTGTTTTTGCTGCACCATAACAATGAATTTAAGCAAAGAAACTTGTGATTTGACATATTGTGATGGTCAACGATATTATTGAGAGACTTTTGACCATACAATATCATGACATTTTGGTTATTCTTACACCCATAATACTCAGCACCCCTTAATCGATATTACTAAAAGCCTTTCAACTCAAAATATCCAGTGTGTGATGTCTTGTTAACGCTGACATTGTATTTAACTGAACTTGTCTTGTTTTGCAGGACGATGTTGACGAAGGACAAGAAGCCGGACGAGAAGGGGGGTAAAGAGGTACCGGTGGTGATCCCCCCGAGACCTGAGACCCCCAAAATGTTTAAAGCGGCCCTGAAAGTGACCGAGCAGGCGGGCATCGAGGGCACCTTCGCCAAGCTCAAGGCATCTTACAAACCAGCAGAGGACGAGGAGGTAAGACTGTTTTAATTGTACTGCATGTTTATGTGTTTATTATTATTTTGGGTATCTTTAAAGGTCCACTATGTCACTTCTCCGGTTAAAAGTAATCAAGGAGATGTTATTGCTTTGTGTGGAATGTTAAAGAATATGACATTATCTTGTGTCTAGTCAAGATTTAGGTGTTTTAATATATTTAAAGTACTTACCTTTAAACGTACATTTCTTTGAGTGTGGTTTCTTTGCAGATCTGACCTGTAACTTGGCCTGGTGGTGCATCTGCTTGTTTTCATGGCTAAATACTTTTAACCAATTATAATTCCAGGCCATTTTTGTGAAATTGCTTTTGCTCTGACCAATATTGAACCCTCAGTTCGAGATACCGTATTTTCCACACCATAGGGCACGCTCTTAAGCCTCCAACCTCTTCAAAAAACAACTGTGTGCCCCGCAATCCAGAGCGCCCTACACACCCCAGCACGACTTCAGTAAACTACAAAGGCGCACCACCCACAGCACATGCAAACACGCATGGAGCAGACAGCGACCGCACAGCGAAACACACCCGCAGACACACTCATCATTCCACGCCGACGAGGAACGGAACGGAGGAACGAACCGAAAAAGCGAGTGCAATGTGCCACTTCTAGCCACAACTGAACAACTGAGTCACTGCGAACACGCCGACAATCCAGCGATCCCAGACAGCACCCTCCCTACACGCCACAACTGAACAAAACCCAGAGTCACCGTGAACGCGCCAAACAAAGTCCCACTGACCCATCCAACTGTTGTGTTTCGTTTAAAGTCCGGTGTGGTTTATTTGTGAAAAAAGTTCGAAAATAGACCATTCAATGACAGTGCGCCTTATAATCCAGAGCGCCTAATAGTGCGGAAAATACGGTATAAATATTGTCAGTTTTGCTCTCAGTAGCTTCTATATTAGTTATGACCTGGGATTATATTTTGCAGGCTCAGTATTGTTCGTATTTTGCAGCTTTTTACCACACAGTGCATAAAGAGCATTTATAGTGACAAGAATCAGTGGTGGAACGTAACAGAGTAAAAGTTGTAAACTGCTGTACTCAAGTATACATTTTAGGAATCTGTACTTTTACTTAAATACATTTTAAACTGGATACTTTTTACTTTTACTTCACTATATCTGAGACCAGGTATCCGGACTTTCTTCTCCACTACATTTTTGAACAGGACAGAAAAGTAAAAGTATTTTTGTTTATTAGTTTGAGACCTGCTGAAAAGGCAGTATTTCTTTGCTCCAGTGTCTGTACTTTTACTTAAAGGTGCACTGTGTAACTTTTTGGTTGGGGGTCCATCACCTGCTTGTTGTTTCTATGGTTATCAAATGAAACAGGAAACGCACAAGGTTCTTGTAGAGGTGCAAATGCAAGGAACAGTAAAATAAAAGTGAAAAAATGCATAGTTCACTCACACTCACACTTTTTTTTTATTTTTAAATAATGTTTCAGCAAAAAAGCCTTTGTCAGTTCATTTTTCTGTGGTCCAAAGCAAGAAAAATTATCCGACGAAGGCTTTTTTTTGCCGAAACGTTATTTAAAAACAAAAAACAGCTGTTGGACATCGGCCATCTGAGTGTGCCATGTATTTTTTCACTTTTATGTTTCTATGGCTACATGATTGCTCTGCCTGGAATGTTCCACAGTATAACATTAAACAGCTCTACTTTACATTTAAACAATTACAGGTGGTTTTATAGCTCAAAAATACCTGGAAAAACAAGTATTCGGACTGATTCTCCACAGATCTGACCTGTAACTTGATCTGGTCTATCTCTTGATCTATCTCCATGAAGATAGAAAGGTTTAATGCCATACTGTGAAACATTCCAGACAAAGCAATAACATCCCCACGCAGACAATGCTGCTTTAAGTAAGAAAACTGAGTCCTTCATTAACCACTGACGAGAATACATTAAAATCAGGTTTTTATCAGGTCTCTTCTGTTCCTCAGACCTCCTCTGGGCAGTCTCCTCGCCCTCCCCCCTCCCCGATGCACCGGCGCTGCCCTGTCCCCGTGTTCAGAGCTGCGGAGAACGACGATACTGTGGCAGAGACGGCGGACAGCTCCCTCATCATCCGCATGACCCCTAGGAGAGAGGGGGAGGAGATGCTCAGCGTGGAGGTGAGCCCGGCCGAGAAGGACGAGGATGGGGACGGAGAAGAGCAGAAGTGAACCAGGAGATACAAGTGACCGCACGTTTGGAGGGCGGAGCCTGTGCTTTCTCAGGATGGGCGGGGGGATGAGCAATAGTCGGCCTTTCATAGTTCTTGGTCTGTGACTGTCTCCAAGAAATCAGTAAGATTTCATAACTATTGTGTAATGGATGTTCCAAAACCCAAGTTGTGCTTGTATATGTGCAGAAGATACAATGTGCATGAGATGGGCCCTTTAATGTTTGTAATGGTTAACGGCATAAATCAGCTCACCTATAGTTGTTCCAGCCAAGTCAGTTCTTTCCGGTTAGATTGTGTTAAAACAAAACTTAAATTAAACTCGAGTTAACTTGAGTAACTGAGCTTCAGACAGAGCAGTGCCTCCAGATGGCTTCACAACCCAAGAAATGTTGATGACATGACATGGATTTTGAGGGACTTTCCTTGCAGGACTAACAACATGGAAAATATTTGGTTGTTGAAAGAATAAACGCACTTGCAGTGTAATCGTTTGGAGATGTTTTTACAAACTTCAGTCTGGTTAAGAGACGCATTGTGCAAAAAACAACTTTTAACATTTACAATTTTCAATTTCAATTTGTAAATTAAGTTCAGTATTTCTAGTTTTGTCCAAATTGTATTAACTCTGGAATTTTAAATTTTTTAAATAGGGATGCCATTTGCAGTTCTGCCACTAGGTGTCACTGATGTCCACAAACTCTTTACCTCCATGGAATCTTTAATTATGGCAAAAGTGTTTATTAACAATATACACTTTTTTTTTTTAATTGGCAGTTCATAATTTTGTAATTGACTTCTCTCAGTGAAATGCACCTTGGGAATTGTAGTTTAATTTCAAACACGACTTTTACAGTGATCTTCTATAATGACTGTTCAGCTATTTGAGAATAAAATGTTAATTAGTTTTTCATAATGTTTTTATTTTACTGTAAAATTTCCATAGAAACTTTCTCTTTTTTCTTTTCAGTTGTTGCTTCACACTATCTCACACGGCACATTCATTTTGTGTGACAAATATATTTCAATTTTGAACATTTTTGCTGCTTGAAAAAAGTTAGATGGTGCAGTTGTGTTTTAAAGTAACATGAATGAAACATGGATAGGCTGAATTTATAGACGGAGATACCTCAAAGCAGATGTTTACAGCTGCCAGTTTACATTAAAGTAGCACCAGTGAACACTTTTAAAATGATTTTGCTGAAATAACAAATAGAATGTAAATAATTATGTGTAATAATTGAAATTTTGTACAAAAGTTTCAATAAATCTGGACAATCTTTCTCGTCTGTGTGGTCCTCTGTGTCTTTTATTTATTTGACTTATTTACTGATATTTTATGATGATTGTAGTTTTGCTTTTATTAGATTTTTTGCTGTTTTATTGTTTTATGAGTGGTATGAACCGATTTTATGATCTCTGTGCAGCTTTTTGGAAACTATAAATAAAGTGGATTTGGATTTGAATGCTGTGACATCATCTGAAAAACAATGTCGACAGTGTTCACCTTGGTGCTGATCTCTCCTCTGGCCCAGTGGGATTAGAGCCTCTGTGGTCTTAATCTGATCAGGCCCCAGGAGAGTGACTCAGGAGGCCAGTCTGCTTTAGCTCTTCTGTAAGAACAGCGTGTATGTTAACAGGGTCCTACGGGTGCTATGTGATGTCGCCTTTAAAACAAACCTCACATTAAATTCTAACTTGAGTAACAGAGCTTCAGACAGAGCAGTGCCTCCGGTTAGCTTCACAACCCAAGCAAACACAAACACACTGTTGATGTAATGGTGTACTGGTGAAGAAAAAAAAGAAGAATTAAAAGATTTAAAATTTTCCTAATTTGTCTATTAAATTCAGTATTAGACTTAGACAAACTTTATTGATCCACAAGGAAAGAAGTAGAAGTAGATGTAGCAGTAGTAGAAGTAGAAGAAGTAGTAGTAGAAGAAAAGTAGTAGTAGAAATAGTAGTAGTAGTAGTAGAAGTAGTAGTACTAGAAGTAGTAGAAGTAGTAGTAGTAGTAGTAGAAGTAGAAGTAGTACTAGTAGAAGTAGTAGTAGTAGTAGTAGTAGTAGTAGTAGTAGAAGTAGAAGTAGTAGTAGTAGTAGTAGTAGTAGTAGTAGAAGTAGTAGTAGTAGTAGTAGTAGTAGAAGAAGTAGTAGAAGTAGAAATAGTAGTAGTAGAAGTAGTAGAAGTAGAAGTAGTAGTAGTAGTAGTAGTAGAAAAAGAAGTAGTAGTAGTAGAAGTAGAAGTAGTAGTAGTAGTAGTAGTAGTAGTAGTAGTAGTATAAGAAGAAGTAGTAGAAGTAGTAGTAGTAGTAGTAGTAGTAGTAGTAAGTAGTAGAAGTAGTAGTAGTAGTAGTGGTAGTAGTAGTAGTAGTAGTATTAATTTATTTTTTATTTATTTTTTTTTTTTACTGGTTACTCATTACTGGTTTTGTTCAAATTTTATCACATTATAATTAATTTATTTGTAAAAAGGGATGCAATTTATGCTTCTGCCACAAGGTGTCACTGATGTCCACAAACTCATTACCTCCACGTACATTTTTAATTATGGCAAAATTGTTTATAATCAATATACACACTTATTTTAACTGGCAATTCGTAATATTGTAATTGACTTCTCTCAGTGAAATGCACCTTGGGAATTGTAGTTTAATTTCAAACGTGGCTTTTACAATGACCTTCTATAAAACATGTTCAGCTGTTTGCTCATAAAATGCCAACTATTTTTTAACAATGTTTTTATTTTACTGTCAGATTTCCTTGGAAACTTTCTCTTTTTTCTTTTTCAGTTGTTGCTTCACACTATCTAACACGGCACATTCATTTTGTGTGATTTGTGTGACAAATATATTCCAATTTTGAACATTTTTGCTGCTTGAAAAAACTTTAGATGGTGCAGTTGTGTTTTAAAGTAACTTGAATGAAACATGGATAAGCTAAATTTATAGACGGAGATACCTCAAAGCAGATGTTTACAGCTGCCAGTTTACATTAAAGTAGCACCAGTGAACACTTTTAAAATGATTTTGCTGGAATAACAAATAGAATGTAAATAATTATGTGTAAAAATTGAAATTTTGTACAAAGGTTTCAATAAATCTGGACAAACAATAGAAGTTTTTGAGTCTGCATGTACTGTAATTATACTGTGTTTTCTTATTAGCACCAGATACAAGGCAAATACTATAAATAAAGTAAATATAATGTTTATGTGTAATACAATTATAATTTTTTGATATTCTCACAGGATTAGCGGCCTGTCCCCTGTGGTGTTATGAGTTTGGGAGAGTGATCAGCAGAATTCTCCTTCCTTCCTTTGGCTCTCACAGGAAACACCGACTGTGGCTCCAGGAGAAAGAAGCTGGAGAAAAGGCAGGAAGTCAAATCAGCAAGACATCTGTGTGGGCTGAGGGTTTAAAATAAAAAGTAAAACGTGGTCACTGTTGCTCAAATGCACAATGAAGCTTTTGATATGTCTGTTAAAGCTGCAGTATCTATTTATCTGTCTATACAATCTTCATAAGAGCTACAACATCTCAAATAAATTAAATATACACTGTGTTGGGAAGTAGCTGAATATGCGTACTGATAATACTGACATATTCTGAATACTCATTTTGAGTAACAGTACAGTTACTTTTTATTTATTTTATTTATTTATCAAAGTCAAGAGTTAAAGAGTTAAACCAACAACCCCTAAAGCTTTAGAAAATGCTGCCTTCTTTTCACAAACTCCTGGTTCAGTCCTGGTTTAGACCCTGGTTTAGACCTGGTTTAGACCTGGTTTAGACCTGGTTCAGTCCTGGTTTAATCCCGGTTCAGTCCTGGTTTTAGTCTTGGTTTAGTCTTGGTTTAGTCCTGGTTTAGTCCTGGTTTAGACCTGGTTCAGTCCTGTTTTAATCCCGGTTCAGTCCTGGTTCAGTCCTGGTTTAGTCCTGGTTTAGTCTTGGTTTAGTCCTGGTTTAGACCTAGTTTAGACCTTATTCAATCCAGTTTTAATCCTATTTTAGTCCTATTTTAGTCCTGGTTTAGTCCTGTTTTGTCCTGGTTTAGTCCTAGTTTAGAACTGGTTCAGTCCTGTTTTAGTCCTGTTTAGTCCTGGTTTAGTCCTGGTTCAGTCTTGGTTTAATCCTGGTTTAATCCTGGTTTAATCCTGGTTCAGTCCTGGTTTAGACCTGGTTTAGTCCTGGTTTACCTACTTTAGACCTGGTTCAATCCTGTTTTAGTCCTGGTTCAGTCCAAAATACACTAAGAAAACTCAGTATACTTGTTCTGGGGAGGGCATCTGGCATAGAAAACTTTATTCCATCTGCATGTTCTTCCAAAAAAAAAAAAAAAAAAAAAAAAAAAAAAAAGGGTCAGTTCAAGGAAGTCGTTGCTAATCTCTCGATACGACAAATATTACGGTTTATCAATCAGTCAGAGCAGATTGTATTTACATGAGGAAGTGAAATGTCTCTTGTTGAAGATAAGAGCTGATGTCCTTGATGATTCTCAAAACTTTTATCACATTTATTCTTGTAACTTGGACACAAAATACAGTAAACACAACAACACTTTAAGCCACTCTGTTGCTGTTTTTGTATCTGTTTCCAAGTTCCAAAATAATTTTAATATGACTCACTTTTATGAAATGGCCTTCTATGGGGGAACTATGCAACTTTTCTGGTGGAGGTTTCGCTTGTCATTGGCCTGAAATGTTCCACAGTGTGCCTTTAAACATATCAGTCTCCATGGGGACAAGCAGGTGGAGTCGCTAGACCAAGTTACAGGTCAGATCTGTGGAGAAAAGGGCCCTACTCTTTAAACAAATGCATGTTTTTCAAAATGTTTCTGAGCAATAAAAACACTTGTAATTGAAGTTTAATGCCATATTGTGGAACATTCTGGACAAAGCTGTAACATCATGAGACAATCAGCTGGTGGACCCTCAGCCAGAAAACTTACATCTGTGTTATTGTTTTACCTACGGGCCCTTTGAAAGATGCACTGTGTAACTTTTCTGATGAGGAACCACCATCTGGTTGTCGGTGTTTTACTTGGAATGTTCCACAGTATGGCATTGTTATTATTTTCTTTAGATGCTTTTATCGCTCAAACACTTGAACACATGTGTCCTGAGTGTGAGCAAGGGTCGCCTCTCCACAGATCAGCCAGTTAACTTATCTCCATAGAGACAGTTGTCCAAAAGCACTTTTCCTAAACGGCACAAAGCGTTCACCTCTAGAGCTGCTCTTGTTGTGCGATTTGAATTTCTTTTCACAAACTCTTTTAGAGGAGGTGAAACAGGATTTTTAAAACTTTGTAAACCAAAATTAAATCTGTATATTTGATTGTGTTGTCCGAATTTAGAAATTTGTATTTGTTTATTTATTTTCTTTTATTTATTCAATCTTTTACCAGGTAAGTCAAGTGAGAACACCTTCTCATTTACAGGGACGACTTGGCCAAGAGGCACTATATATATATATATATATATATATATATATATATATATATTATATATATATATTTGTCACGTATTCTGCAATAGTGATCATTTGTGGACATTTTGTCTAATACCTTAAGTGCTTTTTTATAGATAGTTTTAGCTAATTTAACTAGTAATGCAATAATTTTGGTGCGAAATTAAATACATAATTGCCGAGTTTGTTGTTAGATAATTTCTTATATGATGAAAATCTGATAAATTATATTTGATTTTATTCATTGTTCTTTTGAAATGTTTGAACGATAGTTGTCGAACTCCTAGATGCTTCACTTCATGGACCAGTTTTGTTTTGTTTTTTCCACTCAAGCCCACTCACGCAGTAAGAACGAGTTGATTTTCAATGTTTTGCAATAAAAACACTTGACTGAATATATGCTAAACATGTATGTTTAATGCCATACTGTGGAACATAACAGGTAAAGCAATAACATCTTCATCTAGTTACAAAGTGCACTTTTATTGTTTTTGTGGATTTATTTGAAATTATTAATTAAATCGTTCAAATCTGCACGTTTATTTATTGTAACATCAGAGCGTAAAGTCGTTTTTCTCTTTCTCCACTTGAGTTGTTTCCATCTGGGGGAAATCCAAACTGCTGCTGTGGACAGACCTGGGCTGATCGCACAAACAGCTGTGAGGAG